GTTCCTGCCAGACGTGTGAGTGCTGGACTTCTGGCCAGCGCATGGCCCACTTTGCCTCGGCCTGCACGGGCCCTCCGCTCAACCTTGCAGGCAAGCTGCTCACGCCCGACTGGTGGCTCAGAATGCGCAAAGGGCTCCGCCCGAAGAGGCCCGTTCTCGAATTGAAATGTTGGTTTTGGAATTCAGAAACCAGCTTCTGAGTTCAAAAACCGGCTTTTGAATTCAAAACCATGGTTATGGAATTCAAAGGCCCGTTTCTGGTGGCAAACACGGTCACGTTGCTCGCGAGCTCGCTGGCCGCCCTGCGCGGCCTCCCGCCTGGAGAGTTGGCCAGCCCCAGCCTTCAGCAGGACTTGCCTGCCGGCAGGGGCCAGGCAGCTGTGGGTGCCGGCCTCCCGCAGGACGGGCCCCCGCGGGCAGAGGCCGGACGGGCCAGGCGGGGAGCCCCCGGCGGTGGAGGCCGACCAGCGGGCGGCGGTGGCGGAGACGTTCCGACGGGGGGAGGATCACCGAGCGCCCGCCCGGAGGAGGAGGAGGAGGAGGAGGAGGAGGAGGAGGAGGAGGAGAGAGGAGGAGGAGGAGGAGGAGGAGGAGGAGGAGGAGGAGGAGGAGGAGGAGGAGGAGGAGGAGGAGGAAAAGGAGGAGGAGGAGGAGGAGGAAGGAAGAGGAGGAGGAGGAGAAGGAAGAGGAGCTGCCCCGTCCGCCAGGTCTGGCGACTCCCGTCGGTGCGGTTTCTTGCCTCCCAGCGCTTCGTGCCTTGTCGCGCGCGTCAGTCGCCGCGGCGAGGCGGCTTTTTTTTTTTGTTGGAGCAGCAGTCCACGAGTGCTGCTGTGTGCAGGCTCCCCTCGACGGGCGTTCATCTCGGGATCCTGTTGAGCCCGGGGCCTGGGGCATCGGCCGAGGCTCCCCTCTGGTAAGACATGGGTTTGGGAAAAGCGTGCCCCCCTTTGTAGTCATTGTAGTGGCCCCGCCCCTGCTCATGCCCTCCTCCTAGTCGTGGTTCTAGTCGTCCCCTGGCTTTGTCTACCTCTGATTTTCAGAAGCGCAAGAAAAATTAGAAGCATGATGTTCTTATCTACATCTGCCTTCCAGCCCTGTTCTCTTTGACTACTTGCACGCGATGCAAGCCTGCTGTTCATCTAGTTCCAGAGTTGACTGCTGATCTTAGAAACGAGCGTTTCCCTCGAGACAATCACTTGTTTTCCAATGGCGTGGCCGAGTCGGCCTCCTCCAAGTTGGCCCAAGGAGAAGAGGAGGAGAAACAGGAGGAGAAAGGAGGGGAGGAGGGGAGGCAGGAGATTGGAGACTCAAGAGAGCAGGGGGGAGGAGGGACGGCAGGGATGGAGGAGGAGGAGGAGGTCCAAGAAGAGGGAAGTGGAGAACCCCCTCTGAGGCCGAAAGGGGAGGAGGGGGAGAAGGGAGGGGCCCGTGAAGAGACGGAGAAGGAACAATCAAACACGTATGAGGCGAAGTCTTGCACGCGTGACCAGTGCGCCTAGTATGTTGAGATTGAGCCACGCTTGCCAACGCTGCGATTGAAACAGCCTGCGTACTACTACTACTACTACTACTCACTACTACTACTACTACTACTACTACTACTACTACTACTACTACTACTACTACTACTACTACTACTACTACTACTACTACTACTACTGCCCGTAAACATTTAGGGTCAAATTTTCAATTCGGTGCATTTTTCTCGCCCAGACTCATGTCAGATTCAGATTTTTTCGTGGGTGGTGCGGCTGCGGCTGCGGCCCCAGCCGTTGTGGCGGCCACTGGGTCCGATGATTCAGAATTCGTAGGCGGCGCAGCCCATCTCCCAGTTCCAGTCCCAGAGATGCGCGGCAGAGGCCGTCGCATCGCCAGAGTTCCCGATTGCATCGATGGCCCAGAGTTTATCATGGTCGTTGTAGCTGACTCAAGACGAGGTCTGTGGCCCACGCTGTTACCTCGCAGTGAAAGTGATGCAGCCGATGGTTCCATTGTGGGTTTCACTCGTGCTCGTTGGTTGCTGATCACCCGCGCCGAAGCTGAAGAGCAACAGAGTAGAACGTTTCGCGATATGGTATCCTTGTCTTTGGCAGGGCGGTCGGCCGTCGGTTTCGTGGCGTATGCTGCGTCGGACGGGATCGCGCTCGATGCAGCTCGCATGCCAGTCTCGCAGGTTCCAGGTAGGCAGGCCGATGAAGCACGTGCCGACCGAGGCCTCGAGTTCGACGGATCGTTCGCGACAGTCGGGGAGTGGTTGGCTCTCCAGGATGATGGTCCATTGGTAAGCTGTGTCCAATCGTTCTCGCCCTCGCTCGCCGACGCCCTGGTGCGCAATGCCTATCACATCGCGCACTTGACAGCGATCGGCCAGTCACGGCCCAGGAGACGCGATCTTCTCTGTATCAGGCCGTCGCCGCAGCAGCTTCGCAGGTTTAGAAACCTTCACCGTGCCGAGGACGGCGGCGGCGGCCACGACAGTGGCGACCAGGTGATTGCAATCGAGCCCGACCAGAAGTTGTCGCACACCATATCTTGTTTGAGGCACAGCATTGGGCTCTCAGATGTCAAGAACATCAGAGAATCTTTGAAGTCGGCGGCATCAGCCATTTCCTTGGAACTCGGCCCTGAGGCGACAGAGGTTTTGGAGAACTTCGCGAGCAAGGCCAATCGAGAGGTCGTGCGGAAGGCACGCGTTCGATTCGATGTGTTCGCCATGCACACGTGGAGAAGTTTCATCAGCACCTTTCGCCCTGAGGATATAGATTTGTCTGTGTATGTCGACGGCAGCCCTCAGCACAGGGGGAAAGAGCTCTACGCTTCGACCGTGGACATCTTCGCGCGGCGTGGAGAGAGACTGGAGTACTACAGCCGCCTGTGGCCCGCCATTTCGTTGGGTAGAGATCAGTTAGACACGATCGGGAAGACAGTGGCTTTGTTGTGGCAATTGACGTTGGTGTTTGGGCCGAAGCTCCTGCCGCGCATGTTAGAGCGCATCCGAGGCGTTTTGACTGACAGCGGCGTCGAGCGCAACATTCATATGATGACGAACTTCCTCCCCGATTATTATTGGTTCATCAGGAAACCAGTGCCGCGGGGGGTCAGGGCGAATGGGCGCTTGATGCCTCGTGTGATACGGTCTAGCGGGTGGCGTCACGCCTTCGATGTAGTAATCAGGCGTGGTCTATCAATGTTGGACTTCTTCCCTGACTTGTTGACGAAGTTGAAGGCTCTTGTGAAATTTCTCAGGGACAGGAATATGATGGAAACGCTTGTTCAGGGTTTGCGTGGGCGGGGATTGCCAGCTGTGGCAGAGACTGTCTCTGTATTCACGTTCCCGAGTTTTGCCAAGTGGAGGTGGTCCACGCTCCACCATTGCGTGACGCCCCTGAGCGAGATCCTGGAGACCTTCATCTCCGCGTTCGACCCCGCGTTGTTCCGTGGCATGAGGGACCAGACGTTGTTCGGCACCATTGTGGCGGCATTGGGTTCAGATCGGTGGGCCACGCGGGAATTGTCTTTTGTGAAGTGGTTCACCGCGTGGTTGGCTCCTCTTCAGAACTACGTGGGCAGGTGCTTGTGTCATCCAGAAGGACGTATGCATCTGAAAATAACACTTACACTACGTGTCTGAAGTCAGCCCCCTCGTCCCCAAGCCCATCCCTCGGCGAGTGTCTCAATGGCAGCGCCGCGGGGAAAATCTGCGCAAGGCAGTTGAATGCACCAGCGGCCAAAAACCGAGAAGGGGGGGGGGATGGCGGGAGCAGAGGCATACTGTTGGACGGGGGAGGTGGGGGAGGAGGGGGCGGAACTCGGGCAGAGGTCGGCCGCGCAGCCCCCAGGCGCTAAAAAACACAGAGGTTTTTTTTTCATGTTCCTGCCCACCGCCCCCTCCCGAGGTCGCGCCTCCGAGGGGCGCGCGGGGTTGGGAATGAGGCTAAGCTAGCTCGAAAACGTGACAATCAAAGTCTGAACAACCGTGGCCGCCGCTGCCCTAGTACCCCCACGTCCCCGCCCCCCTCGCCCGCCCGCTGAATGCTTGCAGGGGTAGAGGGGTCTTAGGGGCTGATTCGCGCAGGGCCAGCGTGGCTCGCGATTTGCGCTTTGGGGCCAGTCGCAAACTGCTCGCTTGGACAAGCGATGCGCCTTTGCAGGCGCGGCGCTTGGACACGCCCGTGCTTTGCCAGGTCTCGTGCTTTCGTCAGGACAACCAGGCTGCATCATGCGCGGCCGCATGGTTCACACGATCCACGGACACGCCACCGCTGTTCTGCAAAGTGGGCTCAATGAAGCGAACTCGTGGTCCATCGACCGGTTCAGTTGTGCTGACCAGGCCTGGTTGCAACGTGTGCAGGGGTGTGTGCGGCTAGCGCGCCACTTAGCAACAGAACGGATCAAATATTTGGACACGATTCCTTGGATATTGAGTCGATTGAATGAGCCTGGCGTTGCGCAGCTGGCACTTGCACAGTGCGACATGTACCCTGAGGGGCAGCGCGATCCATTATCCAGGGAGCTCCTCGGGCTCGGTTCAATGTTTCGCCCGCACGTGCTTGCGATCGGCCTAGACGGTTCCAATGTGTCTCTCGCCCTGCAGAAAGAGATAGACCCCCTCAAGCTGACCCCCTTGGACGACAGCACCAACGAAGGAGCTGCCAGGATTCCCAAACTGCAAGCTAAACGGCTTGAGACTCGACAGGGGCGAGGATCTGAGAGGAGGGAGGAGGGAAGAGGAGGAGTAGGAGGAGGAAAAGGAGAGGGAGGAGGAGGAAGAGGAGGAGGAGGAGGAGGACGACGAGAAAGAGGAGGGCCAGGTCGGGACCAGCGTCGCGCCTTAGTTGCGGATAGGTGCGAGGGTGCGGAAGAAGGGCCCGCGGAGGCGGGCGTTGGGCGAGGGGGGGTGGGTGGGGCGGGAGGGCGGGGGTTGAGGGGGGCAGGGGGCGTGGGGGTGGGGGCCGCGCAGTGGCGGATAGTCTCTTTGGCCCCCCTGTGCCTAGCATGAACGGGCTCGCCGCGTCGGCGTGGACGAAGACGACAATGATGATGAGGAGGAGGAGGAAGAGGACGAGTGAGGGAGGAGAGCGCAAGCGGACCCGTCGCGCGTAGATCGTTCAGGCTTCAACCAGGGCCAGGGGAAGCTTCACGCGTGACACCTCTGCCGTTTCTGATCGGGCAAACAGGGCTCGGCGAGGGCGCTAGCGACGATAGCGACATTGTCGCTATCGTCGCTAGCGCCCTCGCCGAGACCGACGCGCGCGACGCCGCGGCAGTTGGCGGGCGAAGACGGTGGCGAGGAGGAGGGCGACGACGAGGATGAACAGCGTGGCCCCCAGTGAGACCTTCTGCCCCCAAATGCCCCGAAGCGCCTCAGATATGCTTCAAGGGTGGCGCTGCTGAGCGCGCGAATTCCGCAACGAATGCTGGCGATTTGGGCTGCGCCAGCACGGGGGGGGGGGGCAGCAGTGCCGATCGACTTCTTCTGGGTTCTCCCTCAGCAGCTCCGAGGCCGCTCCCTCCCCCACCCCCCCTTTCTCACTCCCCCCCATCGTCATCCTTCTCATCATCCTCCTCGCGCCCCTCCTGCTGCCCCCTTTTCCCTTCGCCTTCTGCTCTCGCTTCTCGGGGGGGTGGCGATCCAAAGTTGAGGGGATGTCTGCGGCGAAACGCCATGACTCAACGCGACCGCGGCTAACCATTCAGCAGCGCACTTCAATGGTTTAGAGTATTGCGGCCATCTTGGAGGGCGTCCGAGGACGCATTGAGAGACAGCTTTGATGCGCAGCTCGGCGCGCCCATGGTTTCGAGAGCGCGTTCTTCCGAAACCGATTTGTTTCGATCCCAGGGGGTTGGGCCAGGCCGTCGGCTACACTGCCCCCGTTCCCCGAGGATGTCTCAGGCGACGCGCTCGCGATGACAGCCGTGCTCGCGGCGCCATCTTACCCGTGGCGGATTTGGCAAGGATGTCCCAAGCGAACCGCGGCCCCGCCAATGCCAGAATGGGGCGGGCGCGGGCATCTCGACTCGCCGCCGAGGGGGGCGAATGGCATGCTTTGCCCGACAAGAGCACTTGGCATGCTCGCGCTGTCGGCAGTGGCTGAGAGGCGCGAAGAGGATCTACAGTCCCCTCCCCGCCCCCCCCCCCGCCCCCCCCAACTGGGAAGATGCGCGCCCCCTCCTCAGAGGGCGGGCTGGACGGGGGGCTGGGTGCCACGCGCCAGCTGGCCGCGCCGCGGCCAGTCGGCGGCGCGACCCGCCCGCGACTCGCCCGTGCCGCGACCCGCTCGCGACTCGCGAACCGCCGTGCAAAGCTCAGTCAGCATTCCAGCGGCGCAACATCCTCGGGATATTAAATTGGCCAGGCGCGCTTTGCAGTGTTGCCTGGCCGTTCGCCCACCTCGGCTCCCCCACTCGGGTCGTGCGACGATTGGCTTCAGTTGTTCTGCGTTGCCAGTCGGTGGTGCCACGGAGGGCGCTGCTTTCTCGACCTGGCATCGTGCGTTGTTCGATTGGGTTCACCCTAGGCCGCAGAACCACCACCCTGTCCTTCGACGTGCGCAGCGTTCTAGGCACGTATGCATTCAGTTGCCACCTTGAGGCTGCTTGCGGGGCCAGGCGCGTGAAATTAGAGTCTCGAGTATATATCACAACCCCCCAGGGCCCCACGCAAAGGCTGTTCGGGTATTTCACCGCGCTCGCTCCTGCTCGTGGGCATGGGCGGCCTCCACGCATCGTTTGGCTCAGAACTTCGAGGATTACGATTCCATCAGGGGGCGCATCCCAGGGTTTGATCCGAATCGCACATGGAAGCGTTACAAGTCGTTGATCCCTGGCCGTCGCAACCAGACATCATTCCAGAGTAGCGTCTACGAGATGCGCCATGCCATGGGCGCCGTGGTTGGCGACCCGCACAACGCTAATGATGACCCAGACGAGGACGGGGATTTCGGCGGCGGGCCTGGGGGGCCCGCAGGCGGGCCAGACGGAGGTGACCCTGCAGACGCCCCCGACCCCGACGGCGACGGAGGAGATGGAGGTGGAGATAGTGGCGACGGAGGCGGGGGCGGTGGAGATGGTGGAGGTGGAGGCGGTTGGAACAAGCTCAAGCATCTGCGTGACCGAGCAGCGTTCAACCCAGAGAATGGCAAGATACTTCGCAACTATTTGATGCTCACTCTGAAGACGTTCATGTACATGAGCATTTTTGGGCCCAGCAGCGATGGACCTGGCGATCAGCATTATTTCATGCAGGTGCTCAAGATGCCTGGTAACGATATTATCCCCGCTACGGTAGAAACCAGGGCAGTGAAAAAGGGTGCGTTCGGCATCGTTGTGCAGTACTTGGAGGTGTCTACGGTCCAGGAGGACAGCGCGAAGTGGAACGCTTTCGCGCTGGAGGAGCCCGCCACGATCGACATCCTGGCAATCACTGGTTCCGACTTGGGAGCTGTTGATCGTCTCTTTACGTACTCCACCGTGGATGCTGATATTCGTGGTTGCGTTGGCTTGGCCAATAGGGAGTTGATGCGTCCAGTGGCGGATCTCTCTGCTTCAGCCGCGCCTGTCTTGTCATTGATGCGAGCTCTGCAGCTCGACGGCTGGAAACCTGTAAGACGGATCGTCCATCACAGCCCCGACAGCGACGAGAAGTTTTTTCGACTGCATGGGGCAGCGAGCAAGCAGCGGTACTTCCAGTGCTTGCTGCAGTTGGAGCACTTGTTCGGCAACGGCGCGGTGTCGTTCAGTTCTGCACAGGCCAGCTGCGGGATAGATCTGCAACGAAGTGGCACACCCCTCCTGGAAGGAATTGCAGACGTCATCATGCCACGACTCGGCAACGACAGCGCGCGCGTGTGCGCGTGTGTCCCCTGGCTGGCCCATGTGGGCCTCAAAGCTCAAGCGATCTCGTGGTTCCCCTGGGCCGTTTCGATTCCCAACGGGAGGGGGGAGTGCCGTGCTTTCGGTTGCCAGATCCGCCCCCAGGTCCAAGTTTTTTATGAATTGCTGCTGCTGGCCCCGAGCAAGGCCGAACCTGGCCTCGCTGTCGGCGACTACCGTGGGCTTCTGGAAATCCTGAAAGGCAAACGTACAGCTGCTGACGAGATTAACGACGCCGTTGCCAGGTTCGACGTTAAAAAGCAGAAGGTTGTCACCACCAAGTTCGATGTCAAAGAGCAGGCGGGGAGCGACGACGAGTTCGTCGGCGGCCCCGCCGTGCCGCCGCCAGCCTCGGACATGATTGTTCCTGACATGGATGCGTCCGTGGCGGCGGAGTGCTCGGCGTCATCAGCTTCGGTTCCGAACAAGATGAAGGTCAGCATTGTTCCGCCTGCCCCTGCCCATGAGCCTGACGAAGCCCCAGACACCGCTGTTCCGCCTGCCCCTGCCCATGAGCCAGACGAAGCGCCAGACGCCGTGGCTCCGCCTGCGCCGTCGGGAGGTTCGAGTTCGAGCTCTTCGAGCTCGTCTAGCTCTCCGAGCTCATCGACCTCCTCGGATGAGGGCAGTGGCGATGGCGAAGGCGCGGCAGCTGATCCTGCTCCGCCGCCGCCGCCGCCAGCCGCGCCAGACAGGATTTGGCCAGGTGCCATATTGGGTCACAGGTGCCGCGCGGAGTCCGACTTTGTCAAAGGATCAGTTGGCTTGCGGGTCGATTGTTGCAACCCAGAGCATCCTGGTTGCGGCAGGTACCGCTCGGTGAAGATCGAGCTGGCTGGCTACGGCATTTACTCTGCCGAGGTCTTCCTGGCCGCGTGGCTCCAGAGGGCTCCGCACGTGGACGGCGTGGCGCACAGGCGGTTCACGCCGCCCAAGAGTCAGCTGAAGGCAGCAGCTGACGCACTTGGTTATGTTCATGTCGCGGACGCTGCCGCGTAACGACGTTTCAGACCGTGGCCGCTTGGGTCGCGGCATTGAGCCTCGAGCAACGCATCATCCATCAGCACAATCACCACCAGCATCGCCATTGGCTTCCCGATGTCTCCAGTGCATCCTTGTCATGATCTCCACTTTCAGGCTGTCGCGCCCCCGTGGCTTCGTGCGTCCCCCACCCATCTTCCCTCCAGCCCGTCCAGACACGATGCGCAGGGGAGTTCGCTTGACCGCGGATGGGGCGAAGGCGAACCGAGAGGGGTTGGGGAAGCCTCCCCTAGGAAGGGTGAAGGGGGGCAGCGGTTGTGAAATATTGTAGTGGGGGGAAGAAAGTGTCACGCTGGCATTCAGGCCTCTCGGGGGCCTTTGAGACGGGAGGCCCTGGGATCGCCGATGCCCCCCAGAAGATTACTTATGTTGCACCCGCTCGCAACCGCAGCGGCGCCGCCGACCTTGACGAGCTCGGCGGGCACGCAGCCCAAGTTGACAGGTACCGCAGCCAAGGCGCGCCGAATAATGATATACTTACTAGTTACTAGAGTGCCGCACGGGGCCGCAACAAACGCAGCCACATCAATACAAGAGGGTTGTCGCAAAGATAACATAACAGCATGTCAACTACAAGCGATTGCCACCTCAAGCCCACATTTCAGCTACGATGGTGCCGCTGCAAACGTATGCACAAATCAAATACACGGGATGGGGGTCGGCAAACGTACCCACAGTTCATGTACAAGGGTGGCGCAACAGTCCCCCCCCCGACCCACGCGTCAACTAGAGGGGTGATTGACGGCAATTGTTCTTGATGGCGGCTCGGGTGGCTTCATATCGCAATCGTCTGCGAACGTCGGAACACAAAGGACGTTTTGCATCGACCACAGCTTTATCAACATTTCGCTGGAGACGTCCTCTCGAAATTGCTACGGGGCGGGTCCTCGAGGCCATCATGCTTCTTCTGTAATGGTGATAGTAATTTTGTAGATGGCGCCGATCGTGATTCCGTTGTTAATGAGGCTTGGTTGTATAAATGATAATGGTGATGATGGCGTGGATGGTGGCATTGGCCCCGCCGCGGGCGTCAGCGCCACATGTGGCATTGAGCGGGTTGTGAACTCCGCTTGGTGGGGTTTGTGGGGGTTCGGGCCAGCGCCGCGAGTGAACCCGCGCGGGTAGTGGGCCCATTTGTTCACAGCAATCCTCTGTGATGGGTCTCCGTTTTGAATAGACGGTCGCCGCGTCTTCCTCCTCCGTCTTCTCTCTTCCTCCCCCTCCTCCCTCAATCCCCTCTTCCTCCTTCGCCACCTCTGAGCATGACTCGGCGCACGCCTCGCGAGGATCGTGGCCCCGCAGGGAGCTCCATTGAAGGCCTTAGTGGCAGGGTTCCCAAAGCGGCCTCGGACCAGTTCGGCACGCCCCTCAGATCGCGGCCCCATAGGGGGCTCCAACGAAGGTCCCAGCGGCAGGGTTCGCATGGCGGCCTCGGGCCGGTTTGGCAAACCCCTCACAAGGATCGTTGCCCCATAGGGAGCTCCTCCGAAGGCCCCTGTGGCAGGGGTCGCATGGCGGCTTTGGGCCAGCCGCATGCTGGCCCAGAATATGCACCGCATGCGATGTATTTTTCGTGAGAGGCAGCGGTGGGCAAATGGTAACGAAAAGCTCGTGGGGGACAAATGGTAACGAAAAGCTTGTTGGGGACAATGGTGCCGAAAAGCCAGTGGGGGGCAAATGGTAACGAAAAGCTCGTGGGGGACAAGTGGTATCGAATGCCCCTCCTGAGGCTAGGGGGCTTCCTCGAAGGCGCCAGTGGCAGGGTTCGCATGGCGGCTTCGGGCCAGTTCGGCACGCCCTTCACGAGGATCGTGGCACCACAGGGAGCTACGCCGAAGGCTTCAGTGGCAAGGTTCGCATGGCGGCCACGGGCCAGCTCGGTACGCCCCTCGCGAGGCTCGTGCCATCCCCCCTCCCAGGGGGGCTCCACCGCCTGCCACAGTGGCAAGTTTCGCATGGCGGCCTCGGGCGCGTTCGATACGCCTCTCACGAGTACCGTGGCCCCATAGGGGGCCCCACCGAAGCGGCCCAAGAGAATTGCATTGCCGTGTAATGCTCGGTGGGTGGGCCTCGGGACTTCTACGACCTAGAATGCAAGATTTGCATCCTGGGTCTGGGGGTCCTCGGAGCCATCGGAAGCAACGGAGCCTTTTGATATCACGTGCCATTCGAGCCATCGTTGGCATCTTCTGGGGCCCTACTGGGGCAATGGGGGCCCACCGAATGCCGCAATGGCAGGGTTCGCATGGCGGCCTCGGGCACGTTCGGCGCGCCTCTCACGAAGATCGTGGCCCGAAGGGGGGCTCCACCGAAGGCGCCAGTGGCAGGGTTCGCATGGCGGCCCCAGGCCAGTTCGGCATACCCTCACGAGGATCGTTGCCTCCTAGGGAGCTCCGCCGATGGCCCCATTGGCAGGGCTCGCATGGCGGCATGGGGCGGGCTCGGCGCACCCCTGACAAGGATCGTGGGCCCGCAGAGGAGCTCCACCGAAGACCTCAGTGGCAAAGTTCGCATGGCGGCCTCGGGCCAGTTCGGCACGCCCCTCCCGAGGACCGTGGCCCCATATGGAGGCCCAGCCGATGCGGCCCAAAACATGGCTGTCTAATGCTCAGGGGATGGGTCCAGGGGGCTTCCAGAACTTAGAATGCAAGGCTTGCGTCCTGAGCCTGGGGGTCCTCGGAGCCCTCGGAGGCAAATGCGCCTTCTGAGGTTACGGGCCATCCGAGCCTTCTTGGGCCTCTCCTGTGGCCCTCCTGAGGCTCGGGTGCTCCACCGGCTGCCACTGGCAGGGTTCGCATGGTGGCTTCGGGCCAGTTCGGCGCACCCCTGACAAGGATCGTGGCCCCACAGGGGAGCTCCACCGAAGACCTCAGTGGCAAGGTTCGAATGGCGGCCTCGGGCCAGTTCGGTACACTTCTCGCGAGGATCGCGGTCCCAAAGGAGCTCCACCGAAGGCGCCTGCGGCAGGGTTCGCATGGCGGCTTCGGGCGCGTTCGGCGAACTCCTCGCGAGGATCGGTGCCCCACGGGAGTTCCACCGAAGGTCCCAGTGGCAGGGTTCGCATGGCGGCCTCGGGCCAGTTCGGCACACCCCTCACGAGGTCGTGGCCCCACAGGGGGCTCAACCGAGGGCGCCAGTGGCAGGGTTCGCATGGCGGCCTCGGGACAGCTCGGCACACCCCTCACGATGATCGTGGCCCGATGGGGAACTCCACTGAAGGCCCTAGCGGCAGGGTTCGCATGGCGGCCTCGGGCCAGCTCGGCACGCCCCTCACGAGGATAGTGGCCCGATGGGGAGCTCCTCCGAAGGCACCATTGGCAAGGTTGGCATGGCGGCCTCGGGCAATGTTGGCACACCCTTCACGGGGATCGTGGCCCCATAAGGGTTTCCATTGAAGACGATGTCCACAGGTGCGGCATCCAGTCCTGCGTATAGTTGGGGCCTTCGCCTGGCTAATTTTGGGACGTCTGGGGTAAGCGGTACCCCCGCATGGTACCTTTACGCGCAACGGCTTCGCGTGGCCAGGCGGGTTCATCGCCGCGCAATTCACGGGGCGTCTCAAGCGGGGCCCGCGTGGTTCTGGGCTAGCCATGAACCCCGCGGGCCTTGCGTGGGAGGCCCTGTGCTCTTCGGTGGTCTTGGGCCTCTGAAGGCCTAGGACGTGGGACGTGCTGGCCTCCAGGGCCTCTCAAGCAGGGCCCGCGGGGATCTGGGCTAGCCCCGAACCCCGCGGGCCCTGCATGGGAGGCTAGGTTCCATTGGGCTCAGGGCCTCTCAGGGCCCGATTTGTTCATGCTTCCAGGGCCTAAGCGGGGCCCGCGTGGTTCTGGGCTGGCCATGAACCCCGCGGGCCTTGCGTGGGAGGCTCTGTGCTCTTCGGTGGTCTTGGGCCTCTGAAGGCCTAGGACGTGCTGGCCTCCAGGGCCTCTCAAGCAGGGCCCGCGGGGATCTGGGCTAGCCCCGAACCCCGCGGGCCCTGCGTGGGAGGCCAGGTTCCATTGGGCTCAGGGCCTCTCTGGGCCCGATGCGTTCATGCACCCCAGAGCATCTCAGGCGGGTGCGTGGTCTTGGGTTAGCCGTGGGCTCATTGGGCTCATTGGTCTCAGCGACCTCGTGGGCTCATTGGCCTCAGTGGACCTCGTGCGCCCTGGCCCTTCTCGGGGGCAGCCTCGGGGCTGGGGGGCGGGGGCACTTTCGGCTCGCCCCTGGGTGCCCCCCCCCCCGCCCAGCTTCACAGCCACCTCGGCTCAAGCCGCCGGCTATCGATAGCAACAGTTGCTTCCTTTTCACGTCAGTTTCGGACTGACGCCGCTCAGTCCCAGCAGAGCCCCCCGCAGCGCTCCAATGGCGCCGAAGGCTGCAGCTCGCGGAGGGGCTGCGGGTGCCGCAGCGCTTGCTCACGGTCGCCGTCGCGACTCCGAGGAGGTCAAGCGCTTGAAGGCTGGGATCCGCCGCAAGGACAGGCTGCTGAGGACGGTTGCCCATCGGCTGAGGACGGTTGCCCATCGGCTGGAAGCTGCCACGGAGAAGAAGCGCAAGGAACACGCTGTGAACGTCGAACAGAGCAAGGCCAAGATGAGGCGCGAGGGCGATGACCTGCGGAAGGTCGCCGCCGTGTGCCCGCCAGCGATGGCCATGGAGTCGGAAAGGATGCGCAGTTTCAAGGCCCAGCGCGTCCCGACGGCGACGCCAGCCACGCATATCCCGAAGGAGGGGCGTGAGACGGAGAGCAAGCCAGCCAAGACCAAGAACCATACGGGCGCAGGCAGCAGCAGTACGGCGGCCCGCCAGGCAGCATCGACCGCAGGCAGCAGCACGAAGGAGAAGCGCCTCGCGAAGAAGACGCCTGACCCGAAGAGCCGCAAGGAGAGCGACACCGTCCCCGAGGTGTTGCCGAGCCTTTGACCGCGGACATCGTTGACCAGCCACTCTACCACCCGCGCCCTTGGACCGATTCGTCATCGGAGTGATCGGGTGTCGTGAGACAGCTGGCCCAGCAGCCAGCGTGAGCACTGAGCACAGCTCGACGGCGAGCACAGCTCGACAGCAGTACCAGCCTCAGCCGCTGTGCCGTTTCATGCTGTCACGGCCGTCACGGCCGAGTGACCGCAATGCTTGCGGCTGTCGGCATAGTTTCGCACGTTTCGCGCTCGCGATGTTTTGTACAAAATGCACTTGGTCACCTCGGAGAGCCTTGAACCCTAGACGTAAAGCTATGACGCATAGTATGTGTGAGCATCTAGTCGCTCAAACAAGCATGTGTTTCGATCGAGGCGTCTTCACACATTTACCTCGCACGGTGTCACTGCCCCAGAGGATGTACATATCGCGCACTACGCCATCAACCGCAGGCTTGCGTCGAATGCGATGCATGCGCTGAGATCGAATTGCTATGCGTTGCGTTGCTATGCCGCGGTGCCTTGATGACCTGCATCGTTTTACATCGGGGATTGACTGATGCAGCGGTGCGTGATGATGCGGTGAAGGTTGTAAGTACCAATGTGATGGTGTAGGTCATGGCGATGAAATCCGATTTGGCTCAATTACTGGCGGTGCAGTTGCTCGCGGTGGCTCGTTCACTGCAGCACCGTCCAACGCCAGTCTCTCCCCCGCGGCGCTTACTTCGGCGCTTTCGCGCCTGGGCGCCCGCGCGCCGATGCATGAAAGCATCGGCAAGTAAAGATGGCGTGGCTCAGTACGGCCTGCGTACCGCCAAGTAGTACGCGAACCCCACTCTAGTGGGCACGCGTGCCACTGCAAGGTGCAAAGTTGGGTCGCGTAGGGGGCTGCTGCTGATGGTGGCGGGGATGACGGTGGGTGCGAGTATGGTAACAGTGATGTGGTTATGATTGTGGCAGCGTGCATCACGACGGCCGCTGTCATTCGCAAGGTTGAGGGGGCAACCACCGCGTATGCCACTGGCGTGGCGAGGGTCGGGCGGTGATGGCGCCTGTTGGTGGGCGTGGTATGCGTGCTGGGGGAGGGGGTTGGGGGTGGGGGAAGGATTGAAATGTGTGGGGCGTTCTCCCCAGTATGGGCGTGGTGGCGCCTTCATATGAAGGCCACTGCATTAGCACCCGCGGCCCAAGCTGGCCAGGGCAAAACGTTAACGCGCGGTGGGCCTGGCGCGCGGCCCGCGCTAGGTTCAGCTCGCAGGGCCTCGGGGCCCTGAGCCAACGGCAAAGATGTTTGAGCCACAATGGCGGTGGCGATGGTGGCCGTCCAATGAGGAGTGTGGGGCCCTGTGGTTTGCTCCTTGCTAGGCCCGAAGGGCCCGCCGACGCTTGCAGCGGGTCCGAGGGCCCAAAGGGGCCCGCCGCGGGGCGCCCAAAAGTCTAACGGGTTCGCGGCACCGCGGTCGTTCAGTTCAAGGGTCCCAGTGGGACAGAGGGCCCAAGGGCCCAGTGGCACGTGGCCGCGCGCGCGCCCTGCTGGGGGAACTGCCATATGGCATGCCAATGTGCTGCCAGCAGGCGGTGAACGCGCCAAAGTCGGATTTTCCACAGCCTCCCTGTTGCCTTGCATGTAGCATGCCCAACGCTCCACAGGAGTTGCTGGCCTTTTTTCGCTGCGTTAGGTGTGGGGGGCCTGCCCGCGCGCTTGGTAGTGTAGGTTAATTCGTTCGGGCGCTGCACGTCTATCAGCCTGCTTTGCGCGCCGCCTGGCGTACTACTGCTCTGCCCGCAAACTGGGGGATGAGACTACGTACGACTCGAAGCCCTGTTCCTCACGACTAAGGCGCCCTCCTGCAGGACCGCGTGCGCACCGCGACGCGCGCGGCGCCCGTCGCCAGGCCACTAGGGCTTGCCGTTCGGCGGCAGTTTTTTGATTACTAGGGGGCGGCATGACTGCGGGCAACCGACTGAGGCCTGGTTCGGGCGACGCGCTTCGGCACTAGGGCGTCGGCGTGGCTCTCGACCTTGGGACTAGGCCTAGGTGCAGTGCAACCAGTTGAACGACTAGACAGGGGTGGGTGGCGCCGCGCAAAACCACTACACCGTCGGGGGAGCCGCGGCGGCCGTCACTAGGCGCAGGGCGAGGTCGGCCCCGTCTGCATTACGGCGAGCGGCAGCGCGGCCCCTTGGGCGACCACCGCCACGTGGGCGACGGCCGCCAACTGACTAGGTCGGCGCGCAAGGCGGCCGTCTTGGCACTACCGCGCTGCCTATGCAAGCGCGCGAGGCACTAGGCTGGCGGCGGGACGGCCGCGGCGGGACTAGACCGCGACTAGAACCGCGACTAGGATTCGGGGCCGCGACTAGAACCGCGACTAGGATTCGGGGCCACGACTAGACCGCGACTAGAATCGCGACTAGGACTTTGGGGCCACCCCTAGAATTGCCTGAGACTTCCCCAAAAAACACCCGCGGCCGCGACTAGAACCGCGACTAGAATTCGGGGCCGCGACTAGACCGCGACTAGAACCGCGACTAGGATTCGGGGCCACGACTAGACCGCGACTAGAACCGCGACTAGACCGCGACTAGAACCGCGACTAGGATTTGGGCCACCACTAGGAAGGGTCGGTGAGCGCCGCGGGATCCACTAGGATCTTTCGGCGAGCCGCCGCTTGGGCAACTAGGAGCCGTCGGCGGGCTCCGCGCAGGCCACTACGCGCTCGCAATCGGCAGGTCCGCGAGGACCACCAGGCGTCTGGGAGCGCGCCCGCCTGGTACTACGGCGCCGCCTCGGGCCGCCACGGCCGCGCTACCTTCTGGGCCGAGGTCCTCCACGTGCCCACTACGCTGAATCGGCGGCGCGGCTGTTCCTACACTACAAGGCGGCCCAGCGCGGCTCACTTGCACTAGGGGGGGGGGGGGGGGCTGCGCCGCGCCTGAGCACTACGCGCCGCTGCGCGGCGCCCGCGGGAATACAAGGAGCGCGCTGTCGACGCGGCCGCCGCGATTTCGCGGGGCGGACCGCCCGCGCGGGGGGGGCACTAGGCCGTCGCGCGTGCGCGCGGTGCGCCTACTACAGCCCGAGCGGGAGCGCAAGCGCGCGCACCAGGGGTCCGCGGCGCGCGCCGTGACGCGGCTAGTTCTCGGCGCGAGCCTCCCTTGGTTTCTCTACGCCGCAGGGGGGTTGCGCGCGGCCGCCACGATTCAGTTTGGCAGGGGGCGAGCTGTAGTCCGATTGCCCGCGGCGGGGGGCTCGAGGTTGCGCGCCAGTGGCTGCATGTCAGCCACTCGGCAACAAGCGCGTGGACCGTGTGTTCAGGGCTCTCGTGGACAACGTGCCTGTCTGACCGCGCAGGCGGGGCTCTTGGGGCGCGTTGGATGTCGCCGCGGGAGCCGAGCTCCCAGCCACTTTGGGTGAGTCTTTTGTAGCCTCTCGCGTTGACTAAGGGCGTTCCTGCTGGTCGCGCTCGCGGCTGTTCGGTGTCTACTGGGCGACGCAGCCAAGGTATATGTCGGAAGCTGCCGGTGCCAGGGTCGGTGATGGCCTGCGCAGTAAGTGCGCGTCTTTCTTTCAGCACATCGTCTGGCATTCTTGTGGGCATGTCGCCCCGAGCAAGTTCGGCTGCGCGTCTGACATTCCAGTGCTTTCGGGTGCCTCGGGAGGGGGCGGGGGTGGGGGGGGGGGGACGGGGCGGGGGGTGAACCCCTGTGGCCTTTAATGATGCCGCGGTGCTATTTCGCCCCCCCCCCCCCCCCCGCGCCGCCGCAGTCAAGGCGCGCGCGCGGGCGCCCGGGGAGGCGATGATATCATTGGCTGGCTTGGGCAAGTGCCAATAGCTGGCACCAAGATGACTCCCTGGGGGAAGTTTGGAGTTGCATAGCGGCTCTTACTCTTGAATTTGGGGGTCGATTCATTTTACATAGTTCTGAAAAGTCAAGAGTAAGGGCCGCTTTGGAAGCCGCGGTCGCTCCAGCACGGCCCAATATTGTACCAATACAGTCCCAGATGGCCTCGCGATGGCCCGCCATTGCCCCACGATGGCACAGAGATGGGCCCAGCTGGCCCCAAGATGGCTCCTTTGGGGAAGCTTGGAGGCGCAAGCGGCTCTTACCCTTGACTTAGGAAACCATTGGTTTTACACCATTCTGCAAAAGTCAAGAGTAAGAGCCGAACTGGAAGCCAAGGTGGCCTCAAGATGGCCTCAACATGGCAAGATTGCCCCTCGGTGGCCCCATCGGCTGCGCCATAAGTTGGTCATCTGCCCGATGTGACAGAGCATAGAACCGCTTCAGGCGATTTGCGCCATGGCTTGTGTCTTCAGATGGTGATGATAGAGCGGTGCCTTATTTGCGGAGGGAACGGTTGCGCCTCGCAACAGAGGGTATCAGCGTATTCCATTGGTTGCACCAGACTTTGGTCGTTTGGCCGCCAAGGATGCAGCTGTCTCCGTCTGGTTGCGCCACAGGTTGCGCTCTCGGCGGGCGCGGCTAGCCCCGCCTCTTTCAGCGTGCGCCATGGGCTTCGGCGGCGGAGAATGCGACCACCCCTCTTTTTGGTGGTGGCAAAAAGTGTCTGCTTTGACTTAAGGGGCTTGTTCGGTTCGCCGCGAGCCCAAGGAAGCTAAACCTTGACCCTTCCAGTTTGATCAGGTAGGGCCCCCGCGCGCGGAACGGTCCGCATCAACCCAAAGAATGCTCGAGCTTGAGCCCTCAAGCTTTGGCTTGCAAGGGCCCCGCGTGCAGTAGATTACGCAAGCAGCCCAATGACGCTGAACGTTGACCCCTCAAGTTTCACACCGCATGGCTCCCGCGCGCGGTAGATCCCGCGAGAAGCGCATGGAGTCCCAAATGTGGTTCCTCAAGTATTAGCTGACATGGCTCCTGTGCGCGGTAGGCCCCGCACCACGCTCAGGGGGGCTCGAACTTGAGCCCCCGCGTTTGAGTTGGTCGGGCTCTCGCGCGCGGTACGCGGCGCAACGGGCTCAAGAAGGCGCACTGTTAAACCTTGAAGTTTGAGCTGACAGGCCACCTCGTGCGCAGCAGGTTCCGCGAGCAGCCCACGGTTGCTGGAACTTGACCCCTCAAGTGCGAGCCCGTAAGGCCCACGCGCGCGGTAGATTTCGCACCGCGCTCAAGATGGCTCGAACTTGAGTTCTCAAGCTTGATCCTGATAGGGCTCCCAAGCGCGGTAGGTTCCGCGCCGAGCCCAAGATGTGCTCGAACTTGAGCCCTCAAGTTTGAGCTGGCAGAGCCCCCGTGTGCGGTAGATCCCGCGACGAGCTCGTGAACGCGTAAACGTTGTTCCCGCAAGTTCGCGTTGGTTGGTCTCCCGCGCGCGCTAGATCTCGCACAAAGCCCGAGAAAGCTCAAGCTTAACCTTTCAAGTTTGAGCTGGTAGGGCTCCTGCGCGCGGTAGTTCCCGCAACCAGCTCAAGAACGCTGAAACTTGATCCATCAAGTTTGGGCTGGTAGGGCCCCCGTGCGCGGTAGGTTCCGCACCGCGATCAAAATACGGCCGAAGTTGAATTTCCAAGCGCAGGTTGACGGGGCTACCTTACGCGGTAGTTTCAGCGACAAGCCCCAGAAGGCTCGAACTTGAGCCGTCTAGCTGGCTGGGTGGTAGGGTTCCCGCGCGCGGTAGGTCCCGCGATGAGCTCAAGAAGGCTCGGCTTTGCGCCCTCCAGTTTGAGTTGGTAGGGTCCCCGCGCGCGGTAGGTTCCGCACCGACTCAGGAAGGCTCGAACTGGGCCATTCAAGTTCTAGCTGGCAGGCCGTGGCCGATCGGTTGTTCTTCGGCGGCCACATATAACGCGATATAGGTTTCTCCCTCGGCGGCCGAAACTTCAAACGGGTCGCGTTGCTTGCGCCATAGGTTGCGCCCTCGGCAGCCGGAAAGCAATCCGACGCGCAACGGCCACGACCAGTCAGTTCAATCAGTCTGTGCCAATTGAAATGCGTGACATGGCCGAAAATGTCACGCGTGACATATGCCTCGGTCGTTTCAGGGCTGACGAAAACGACGATGAACGCGAGGGGGGGGGATGGGGGAGGGGAGCGTGATAACTTGCGCTTGTGAAAGATTATGCTGGTTTGTGTTCCAAAGCCCCGCGCATTTATTGGGGGGCGTCCCCAGCGCGCTATTCACTGGAAAAGCACAAACATATAATTATTGTTTTTACATTGCTTTGGGGCTTCTTTGGCCGTCTTGGAAGTCTTCTATCGGAGGAGGTGCTTCAATCCAGCACATAGCGCCATCTCACGAGGAGGTCTCATGCGAAACTGCCAGCAGCCAACCTTGAAGTCTGGAGGGCGCGCCGTCGATCTCACTATTGTTTTCCCAAGGGTGGGCGAAACGATCATGCTGATGATGCGGCGCCTTGGCAATACTTTGCCCCCTCCCCCAATGTCGCAATTTGGCGAGGGCGCCTCTGGCCAACCAGCCGCTGGCGTCCAAAGTGCAGCAGGGGGCTGGCGCAGCCCAGCGAACTCAGGGGGGATAGGGGGGAGGCCCAGGAGAGTAGCACGCACCCAGCCAGGCAGCCATCTGTGCACGCGACTGTGCGCCAGGGGAGCAGTGGCGGTTCTGACGAACTGGCGTTGGCACAAGTGCGCGCGAGCAGTCTTGGCCTTCGCCTTTAGGCTTCCAGGGCGCCCGCTCCAATGCTGGCACGGTGTGTTAGCAGTGCCCCAAGAGACACCCAGTATGTCGTCGCCGATATGGGGTCCTAGTGAGCTAACTATACGCAAGAACAGCGGGTCCCCCCGATGATCGGTCGGGCCCGAGGGCCAGGGCCAAGCTCATTATCCCATACGCCGCAAGCCTGACATCACCGCCCTTCGCACGTGGCGGTGTATCGCACTGCTGCTGGTGCCAGTTGATGCCGCTCTCCCTCTCTCTCCCCCCTCCCCCTCCCCCTGCCCTCCTGCTGCGTCTCCTTTGCAGTGCATCCTTTTCAATTTCGCCCTCCTTGCCCTGCGCCCCCATCTTGCGCCCCTTCATCCTTCCATCCTCTTTCCCGCCTGGCTTCAGCTGCTCATCCTGCCCACCCCTACTCCTCTGATCCTCATCCTCGTACCCCCTGATTTCTCCAAGCCCCCTCGGTCCAACCCCTCCCCTTTCTCAACCCGTAACAATTTCAAAGCTATGAGGTCTGAGGTCCCAGGGTTGGGAGGGGCGGCGGGCGGGTGCCCCCCCCCCCGTCGGGCCACCGGAGCAGGGCCATTAATTCTCGCAGTGGTTGTCGTTCCGCCGTTTGCTTTCTTGTTCCATGGGGGGAAGGTCTCACGCAACCCCGCAGAGCAGGGGCCTGATGGGCGGGGGCTTCGCCGCCAGGCCTATGATATGATCGCGGCAATTCTGAGCAAGTGAAGCCTTGACGTTGGAGGTTGTCCTTGGATAGAGGGGGGATGGGGCGATTCGCTTGTGTCTCCTGGGGGCTTGCGTCATCAGCCATTCACCCAGCCACGTCAGTAAATGCCCCCCCAAAACAAAAACACAATCCAACCAACCAGCCTAGCAGCCAAGCCAACCAACACAATCAACCAGCCCAGCCAGGAGGTGCCTTTCGTTGAACTTATCCGAGCCAGGTTGTTACCCCAGCATCATCGCAACCATCCGTCTCATCTCATCTGCATCAATGATCAGGCCTTTTTTGGCAGTGTGCGGATGCATACAGGCATTCGCTATGACTCTGTATTCTGCGCGCTCGGCGTTACACATGGGTATCTGTTGTTGTCGCCACGGCCAGGCCGCAGTCGTTCAGTACCAAGCCATCTTGGTTTGTTGTGCAGTGCGTTGAACCACTTACCACAACTTCGGCCATGCAGGCGGAACTCATGGGCTCCCTGCAGCTTGTCTTGACGGATCCTTCGAGGCCCGTCGGGTCAGAGCTGCGGCTGGACGTTCAGCTTCCCTGTGCGCTTGTCATTGCGGGGCCATCCTTCCGCAGCACGCCAGCGCCGACGGATCCGTCGGAAAGTGAATCCAACCGCGGCGGCAGCGACGGCCCAGTCAGTCTGGGCGCCGTCCCGCGAAGCGACGGCCGTGATCTTGCGGCTGAGGCTGAGCGGCTTTTGGAGGGGGACCCGCACTTCCAACACATAGAGAGCGGGTGGAAGGCGGAGCAAGCGTTCCTGGACGCTCAGATGGCCCTCGAAATGAGCATTCCAGCTGGCGAGGGCCAGCAGGAGAATCAGGGGAAAATGCCATTGCCTTTTCAAGTTGAAGCTCCGTCGGGCTGGCTTTCTATGCGTGGACCTGAGGGTTTGCCCACGGTCAGCCCTGGGCTCTCGCCTGACGATGACGCAGCGTCAGCGCGTGCTGACACGCCGCCGCAGCCCTCGCGTAAGCGCTCTCTCCCGCAGGACTTGCATGGCAAGCCTGAGATTGTTCGCGTTGATGAATCTCCTCCGCGGAGGTCTCCAGATTCTGATCCGCCGCCCGCCGTCGTGCCCCCCAGCACTGCTGCGGCGCACACGCCTGCAAAGACAGGCGTCGCGGCGGCTGCCTCTGAAGAAACGCCTTCCAAGTGTGACGCCTTCTCGCATGGATCCTGCGAGCACGCGCGCAAGCGCCCTTCGGGTGCCAAGCCTGGTTCGAGCGCCCGCGGCGGCGAGATGGTCGCCACGGCGGCCTCGGCGAACCGCAAGTGTGGGCCCGCAGATGCATTCGGTTTACATTTTAGCACATCTCGGCCACCAGATCCAGAGTGCCTCTTTAGTGTTGCAGGGCTTCGGTTCGTGAACACCTGTGCCCGTGGCACGTGGAGTCTAGCCTCCAGGCATCAGCGCCGCATCAGCGCTACGATGATGGCGGAGGGAGAAGGTGCGATGAGCGATGACGACGGCGGCGATGGCGACGACGCGACGACAGTGACGGTGATGGAAGGGGTGAGGGTGCGGTTGCGCTGATGATGCTCAGTGATCTTCTTTCTTGCGCGTGAGCTGCGTCGAGAGACGTCGGCTTCGCGTCGCGCTCACTTCCATTCGTTTAAAGTTCGGGCTTCGGGCGCCGAGGGGCGCCTGTGGCCTGGGGCAGACTGAACCCGTCGTTCGCAGCACCGCGGCATATTGTCGCATTTCGGTCGCAGGGTGGTCGCTCGCGCCCCTGGGAAGGAGACGGCGTCGCAACCAACCATCGCCGTTTCGTTCAGACCAGTCTTACACCTTCTTCTGTTTCATAGTTTAGTTTCTTCGCCATGATTCGCTCATCCATTTCACTCCCTCTCCCTTCCGCCCCGCCAGCGCCCCTCGCGCATCCCATCCCATTCTCCCCTTTCCCTTGCCCATCGGTCATGGCCTTGTCGTCTCGTAGCGTTTCGCCGCCCCGCCGCCCCCCATCAGGTTTGATGTTGCGACTTCGGCGGGGCTCTCTGCGGGGCAACTGCCAAGGGCAGCCCAAGGGCATCGATGCACCCATGAGGGCTTGTTCACGTCCGCCTTGAGAGAGGCTGGGTTGGGCCCTCGTAGAGATTAGCCGGATGCGTTGGCACAGTTTCTAGAGAGCGCGAGCTCAGGTTTGAACAGGCGCACGCGGTCGATTTCCGAGCGGGTGCCGACGACTAGAGACAGAGAGAACGCGGTGATAGACGGAGATGCACCTAGATTTGCCAATCACGAAGAAGTTGGGGATCGCAATGGGGCACATTCAACGCATGTGAAGGCCACGGCGGGAAAGCTCGCATGGTGCCCAGCATTTGGATAATATCGAGGCCCCTCGCGGGAATCGTGGACCCACACAGTAGAGGGGGTAGATCAACCGAAGGTCTCAGTGGCAAAGGTCGCGCGACGCCGCCCAGCCTTTTTCGACGTCCATCTCTCGAGGGCGGCTGCCCGCAAGGAGCTCACCCCTTGCCACGCTAGATGTTCGTTGCGCGTCAACCCCGCTCGCCCCCGACCAAATCTCGGCATGCCTTGTCGAGGGGCGTGCCCCCATAGCTCCACCGAAGGCCCCGATGGGACAGCTCGCATGGAGCCTTGCTTTTTGTTCAGCACACGCCTCGTCCATTACTAAAATCTTGCCACGTCGGGCCCTCGGGGGCCCCACCGAAAGCAGCGATGGCGCTGCACAGGGCCAGTACAAAACTAGGAATTGCCTAAGGACGCCCCCGTTGATGGCTAGAGCAGCGCACAAAATCGAATGGCGTTGGGATTCCGAGCCCCCATGGGTCGCTCGTGCCTCCTGGCACAAGCCCTCTGCTACAAGTTGTGAGCTGCGATCGTTTGACATCCATGTCGTCGCGAACGGTTATGCGTGGCATGTTATGGCATGCGCCGTTTCTTACACTATGATCTCGTGCACCTCATGTCACGTGGGGGCTCCGTATGCTTTGATATCAGCATGTGAAGGGTGTGTCGATCAAGGACCGCAATTTGACAACCGCCCGATGCATTTTCGCCGTCATTCGGTTAAGGGGTGCACGGGGGGAGGTGCTTATGCGACTTGATGTCCTACTGTTATTATGTGTGCGTGATTGCGTTTGCATTGATGTTGCGTTGCGTCGGCGCAACCCTCTGTGCGCACCAGCGTGGGCGCGCGCCGCGCGAGCGGCCAACAAACAAGGAGGAGGAGGGCGGGGGCAGATGCATAAGGCTGGATGGGAAGGTGGAGGAGGAGGGGGGGGGGGAACTCGGGCAGAGGTCGGACGTTCAGCCGTCAGGGGTAAACAAACCGCCGAGGGTTTTTTTTGGACGTGCCCCCCCGCCCTCCCGACTCCCGACCCCTTCCCCCGAGGGGCGCGCGGGGCTAGGACTGAGGTGGCAAAGCTTGCTCGAAACGTCGTCCAACTGTTCTTGGGTATGTCAGGGTTTGCAACAACCCAGCGCGTCCCGTGGGGCCTTTCGGCCATAGCTAGTTTAGCTTTGTTGCTGCTTTCAGCAACCAGCCAGCAGCAGCCCTCCCGCGCGACACCTTTACGTGGGAGGCATGGTCTCTGGCAGCGCGAGCGTTCACGGCTCGGAGCTGTCGGGGGGTGGGGCCACTGCTACGTGTTTCGCTTGCGACGGCGTTGGGCCGTGCACGAAGAAGTACAGGGACAAGTGGATGCACGAGGTGTGCATCAACGGCGTCCGATCTTACGCGAGGCAGGTCTTGAACTCCACTGGCAGCTTGACCGTCATGGAGCGCGAGATGGACGAGGACCCACCTGCCTTCCGAGCGAATGTGGCGCCTTTCGTGAACACCACTGGCGGCTCCGACGGACGCAGGGCTGCTCGCGCGTTGTTGTCGCAACCACAGCTTGCCGTGGGGCAGTCTGCATTCCCTCCGATGAGCAAGACTGACACGTATCTGCGGGGTTCTTCCAATGAGTACGTCGACACGCTCTTGGTGCTCAACGAGACCCGCTACATTAGTTACCATATGTTTTGGGATCGCATCTCAGAGGAGGAAGCCCGTGTGCTGGCCCATGCTGAGCAGGGGGGCGGGTGGGGCGCATCCGACGGCGAAGCCAGGGTCCAGGTGAAAGACAATTTCAAGGCTCGCAAGAAGAGGAAAACTGCCAGCACGTCTTCTGTCGACGAGATGTCGGCGATCAGCGAGCCAGAGTTCAGGCGCCTCCGCATCGCGCACCAGATCATCCCGCCAGTGGCAGACGAGCCAGGAGCCGATCTAGATGAAGTTCTCTTGTCGCTGGGGCCATCAGCCTCGGTTGCGGGCGCGGCGCCGCCGCAGCAAACCCCGTCTCCAGCGAAGTTGGGGGTGCAAGAGGACATTGGTTTCTTCGAACCTTCGCTGCGGTCCCAAACCATGTCGTCCTTCAGATGTCGGAGCGTAAACTTTGAGACTTGGCGCGTCTCAGGGTGTGCGCCCCGACTCAGAGCTTGAAAACCCATTGGGCAAAGCGTTCGGCCTCCGCGCTGGGGGGCGAGGCAGGCTTCAAGGTGGCCTTGAGCAGTCTGGCAAGGAGGAGGGAGAAGGAAGGGAACTGTGGAGGAGCAGCTTGCTATTCTCAGCCGTCCTCTGGTGCTGGGTCCTCGTTTTGGATAGACATCCCCCCCCCGCGTGCCTCCTCCTTCCATCTTCCACCCCCTACTCCCTCCATCTCCTCCTCCCCCTCCTCCGCCTCCTCCTCATCATCCTCCTCCTCCTCCTCCTACTCACCCTCCTCCTCCACCTCTCATCATCCCTCGGCGCGCCCCTCGCTAGGACCGTGGCCCCATCGGAGCTCCACCGAAGGCGCCAGTGGCAGGGGTCGCATTGCGGCCTCGGGCCAGTTCGGCACACCCCCCACGAGGAACGTGGCTCCATAGGGGGTTCCACCGAAGGCTCTCAGTAGCAGGGTTCGCATGGCGGCCTCTGGCCAGTGCGACGCGCCCCTTCACGAGGATCGCGGCCCAAGGGAGCCCCACCGAAGGCTCTCAATGGCAGGGTTCGCATGGCGGCCTCGGACCAGCGCGACGCGCCCATCACGAGGACCGTGGCCCCCAGTGGGGTATCCACCGAAGATCCCAGCGGCAAGGATTGCATGGCTGCCTCGAGCCAGTTCGGCACACCTCTCACGAGGATCGTTGCCCCAAAGGATGCTCCGCCGAAGGCCGCGGTGGCAGGGTTCGCCTGGCGGCCTCTGGCCAGTGCGACACGCCCCTTCATGAGGATCGTAGCTCGTTGGGGTCTCCACCGAAGATCCCTGTGGCAGGGCTCGCATGGCGGCATCGGACAAGTTCGGCGCCATCCTCACGAGGATCGTGGCCTTATTGGGGGGGGGGCTCCTCCGAATGCCACGTTGGCAGGGCTCGCATGGCGGCTTCGGGCCAGCGCTGCGCACCCTCACGAGGATCGTGGCCCCATTGGAGCTCATCCGAAGGTCCCTGTGGCAGGGGTCGCATGGCGGCTTCGGACGAGCCGATGCTGGCCAAGAATATGCATTGCATGCGATGTATTTTTCGTGAGAGGCAGTGGGGGGGGGGGGCAATGGTAATGAAAAGCTAGGGGTGAACAAATGGTAACGAAAAGCTCGTGGGGGACAATGGCAATGAAAAGCTAGGGGCGGGGGGGGGGGGGACAAATGGTAACGAAAAGTTCGTGGGAGACAAATGGTAACGAAAACCCTTCCTGGGGCTATGGAGTCTGCTGAAGGCCACAGTTGCAGGGTTCGCATGGCGGCCTCGGGCCAGTTCGGCCCTCCCATCGCGAGGATCGTTGCCCCAGGCGAGCTCCACCGAAGGCGCCAGTGGCAGGATTCGCATGGCGGCCTCTGGCCTGTTCGTCGCACCCCCACGAGGATCGTGGCCCCATATGGGGGCTCCACCGAAGGTCCCAACGGCAGGGTTCGCATGGCGGCCTCGGGCCAGTTCGGCGCACCCTCGCGAGGATCGTGGCCCCAGTGGAGCTCCTCAGCACAAGTGGCAGGGTTCGCACGGCGGCCTCGGGCCAGTTCGGCGCACCCCTCATGGAGACCGTGGCCCCAGAGGGAGCACCACCGAAGCTGGCCAAGAGAATTGCACGACAGTGAAATATTCAGGGGGTGGGCTTAAGTTGCTTCCTGAACTTAGATGCAAGATTTGCATCCTGGGTCTGGGGGCGCTTGGAGCCCTCGGACACAATTGAGCCCCCCCTTGAGATTATGCACTATCCGAGCCCTCTTGGGCATCTTTCGGTGCCCTCCTGCTGCTAGGGCGCTCCAACGAAGGCTCCAGCGGCAGGGTTCGCATGGCGGCCTCAGGCCAGTTCGGCACGCCCTCACGAGGATCGCACGGAGCTCCTCCGAATGAGCCAGTGGCAGGGTTCGCATGGCGGCCTCGGGCCAGTTCGGCACACCCCTCACGAGGATCGTGGCCCAATAAGAGCTTCACCGAAGGCCCCCGTGGCAAGGTTCACATAGCGGCGTCGGGCCAGCGCGGCACGCCGCTCGCGAGGATCGTGGCCCCAGGGGGGCTCCTCCGAAGGCGCCAGTGGCAGGGTTCGCATGGCGGCCTCGGACAAGTTCGGCGCACCCCTCACGAGGATCGATGCCCCACAGGGAGCTCCACCGAAGGCGCCAGTGGCAGGGTTCGCATGGCGGCCTCTGGCCAGTTCGGTACACCCCCCACTAAGATCGTGGCCCGATTGGAGCTTCACCGAAATGCTCCAGTGGCAGGGTTCGCATGGCGGCCTCGGGCTAATTCGGCACGCCCCTCGCGCGGATCGCGGCCTAATCTGGAGCCCCACCGAAGTTCCCAGGGTTCGCATGGCGGCCCCTGGTCAGTGCGGCACTCTCCTCTCGAGGATCGTGGCCCCATAAGGGTTTCACCCGAAGACGATGTTCGCAGTTGCGGCATTCACTTCTGCGTATGGTTGGGTTCTTCGTCAGTTTGTTAAGAGCTCGCCCATGCGCGGGTGGCATAAGCATTAGCGGGAGGGCGTGGTCGCCCATTTGCGTGTTGCCATTCCTTGAGGATTGGCCGCGTCGGTCGCCGCCTGTCGGCAGGGTCGCGGCGGCCAGGGCGGCCCCTGCTGGCGCCTCCGACGCAGTCCCTGGTCTCGGCGCTGGTCGGCGGCAGGACGGCGACGAGGGCGGCGGCCAGAAGGACAAGGACGGCTCGTTGAAGCAGAAGGCTGCCTTGAAAAAGAGGCCCGCTGCAGTGCATTCGGAGGTCTTCGGCAAGGACGGGTATCACACGAAGATGATCAAGATGTACTCCCAGTGCGACGACGGCTCTGGCACGCTCGAGAGCGACGAGGACATTAAGATTGAGGCGTTCAGGAAATACGTCAAAGCTTTGGGCGAACAGATGAAGAAGAGCCAGGTTGACATCGAGAAGGCCAAGCCTGACAGTTTCACGAAGTGGGGTCAGGACTTCACTGCTTACGATGCCGAGTACAAGGCCCTGATCAGCACGTACAGTAAGATGGAGTCCTGTCTGAACTTCTTCACGCAGGAGAGGGTTTCGTCTGCTCGCAGCGCCAAGTTGAAGATTCGCCACTTCAGGGACCGCTTGGTGACCAGCATGAAGGACAAGGGGTTCGACCCTCAGTTCGCGAAGATCTTGGTTGAGAGGGCTTGCCAGCTCAACGAGGTGTTCGTGCAGACGGTGTCGCTCGTGCAGACCGCCGACATGGCGGCCAATGAGGCAAGCGAGCTGCAGAAGAAGGCTGACGGGAGCGTCGGCGCAGGTGGCTCGTCTGACGTCGCTGCCACGGTGCCCGATTCAAAGCCGAAGATTGCGAGGATGCCGATTCCAGAGGTCGACGCCAAGGGCGGCGCCGTGGTCATCGAGCGCGCCGTGACGGAGTTAAGCGTCATTGACGCCCTGAGGATCAACGATAAGGTGCTGCTCATCGACGAGGAGGGCCACGACTTGTTCGCGCAGGCCTTGGACGACGACGACGACCACGACGGGGACGGGGCAGCGACTCCTCCTACTGCCCATCCTCCTCCACTTCCTCACCCTCCCCACCTCTCCTTCCTCCTCCTTCTCCTCTTCTCTCCCTCCTCCTCCCCCTCCCCCCGCGTGCGGCGGCGATGTCGACGCCGACGCGTCTGGAGGCCATCGCCTACCAGACAGCGGCCCCCGACAAGCCTGAGAAGAAGACTGCCCGCGCCGAGGCGAGGTTGCAGGATAACGCTACTTGGGTCGGCCTTTCAGGGAAGCTCGCACCGCCTCCTAAGGAGCACGACTCAGAGCTGCTCCAAGATGACATCCTACAGAATCCAGCGTGCTCGGCGTGGCTCCTCTCTGTGATGAAGTTCGCGTGGGGCTGGGGGCCCACGGGGGTTCCGCTTGCTGGCATGGAGTGCCTGCTGCAGTCCCTGGGCTCCAACGCGTTGGTGACATTCTTACCGATTGCGTCCTTGCTCGAGTCTGGCATCGTCTTGGAGAACGTGAAGGCATTCATGGAGACAGGGTCTGGCCAGGCTTGGGTCAAGGGCAAGACTACGACGATGCTCTTGGTGAAGGGCGCCATCGTGCGCATCCCCGCTGGCATCTTCCCGTTGGTTCACTACGCGGCAGTGGGCGCCCCAGAGACGGCTCAGGGCGAGGGCGAGAGCGCCAACCAGAAGGACGAGGTGGTGGCACTGCACGCGTGGCATTTGCCGCTCTGGCGCGCTGAGGCGATGAAGTCGCTGCCACCCGCGGTGAGCCGCGCGATCCACTCGCACGGCCAGAAATTGTTGGAGGAGCAGTCTTCGTCGAAAGCCTGGGCGGAGCGCGCCAAATTCCATGGCAAGTGGTTCAAGGACAACGTCTTCAGCGATTGACCGACCGCGCGATGTTTCGAAGATGCGTTCAGCATCTGCGTTGATGACGCCGCCATTTCGGCGGCGCGGCGGGTCATCAGACCAAGTTTTTTTTTTACTCAGTGAGGGCGGCGAGCCCATGAGCTTAAGTTGTGTTCTCTGGTTGCGCGCCCTGCCTGGAAGCTCAGCCCGGCCTCTGTCGAAGCCGCTCGTTGGCGATCGTTGCGTGTGAAGCAAGATCCGAGGGATAGCCGCGGGGACTCGGGGCTTAAGGCGAGCCCCATCGGACGAACTCAACGCGCGGTGGCCCTGAGGCCTCATTGGCCCGCCGTAAGAGATCCATGGGGCGCCTAGCGCCCGCCTCATCTGGCGAGGAGGAGGGGGGGGAGGAGCAGGAGGAGGACGAGAGGATGAGGATACGGATGGTGAGAGAGGGGGAACAAAATGAAGATGAGGATAAGGAAGAGGGGAGCGTCAAGGAGGATGGGGGTCTATCTTACACCGTTGATATGCTGGTCGAACGTTGTCTTATGGCAAACGGCATAGTGCATGTGTGAACGGCTGCGCCCTCCGTCGCATGCACCCCCTCTTCCGCGCGCCTGTCACCCTAGAGAGCCTGGCCGCGTACGTACGGCGTTGCGTGCAACGTTATACTGTGGGGCGCTTGAGGTCCTGAGGGGCCGATTCGGGCTCTGGCCACGCGCGGCGCGTACGTGCCTTGGGCATGGCGGCTGCCAGTCGGTCGTGGGAACTTGGGCTCACTCTGGGGATCCTTTGTTGGGAGTCTTGAGGCCTACTCGGCGCGCCCCTCACGAAGAACGTGCTCTGTGAGTTCTGGGGCGCCCGCCAATGCAATCACGGGCGATGTGTTGGGTTTCTTAGGGTGGGTTCTTGGAGCATCCGCGTGCCCATCAAACCAGGGTCATACATGTTGGACGCACATCCTAACACACAAGACCATCATTCGGCTGAGTCTCGGAAGTCCCTCTTCATCTCTGCGTCGTCTCCCACTGGTATCCCCCCGAGCGGTCCCTGCCCTTGCCCCCTCGTCGCAGCGTCACTTTCTCCCATGCCCGTAATGCCTCCACGCCCCTCCAGACTCTCCAGATCGGTTTCCCAAATCAGGATGTCATCCCTCCTGTCCCCCTCTCCGCCTCCTCCGTTGCCCTTTTGGCTCAAACAAGCGATGCGTCGTACTGTCCGCATTCGCGGCTTATGCGTGACGCGATGCGCATCTGTGCGCCTTAGTTGGGGATGAGCCCCACGAAGCTGGGCAGTTGTACCTCGGCGTGCTTACGGTCGCCGCGCCAGCCCACGCATCGGGCATTGCCTGATGATCGTGATGCGCCTGAGCGGGTTGACATCGAAGAGAGTTTCGGTCGTCTTCCGCGCGCATGCTCACGCTAGTGAGCTGGAAACGTCTAAGTATCGTTCATGACGATAGTTTCAAAATCGCGCTCGCGAGCGCCTGACTAGAATTGTAAGAGGGCAGCGGCCTGGGACTAGAGCCAGCGCCGCGCCACCTCGCCCAGACCAGACCGCGACTAGAACGGCCACTAGAACCACTAGGTTTGAGGCCACGTTTTCCTAAATCCCACCAAACCCATGTCTTACCACTCCCCTCGGTCCTGCCATCTGGCCGCGCTCAGCCCAGTGTGCCTCTCTCTCTGTTCCAGCCGTGCTCAGTCCGCGCTGGGCAGGAGATGTGTCCCCCATGTTCAAAGGATGGGGTTCTTGCTATTACTCCGACCGCGCCGAGAGGACACAGGAACACCTCCCTCCCTCCTCATCGTCCTTACCGTGTCATGGTATGGTATGCTATGCTATGCCACTTTATGGTGTGTCATGGTTTGGTATTGTGTAGTACGATATGGTATGGTATGATATGGTATGGCATGGATGTGCTATAGTGTGGTATGCTACAGTATGGGATGATGTGGTATGGTATGGCATGACATGGTATGATATGTTATGTTATAGGGGGACTTGGTATGTTATGTGTTGGCTTGTTCACCAGATCCAAAGGATCGGAGTATTGTTGTTATTCCGGCAACACACACTCCCTCACTCACAAACGCATGGTCCTCCTCCTTATCATGGTACGTTATGTTATGGTGGGATATGCAATGGTAGGGCGCGTCATGCGACGGCACGCAGTTGTATGGTGTGATATGGTATGATATGACATGTTATGGTATGGAGTGGATTGATATGGTATGGTTCAGTATGGCGTGTGATGCTATGTTATGCATGAATGATATGGTACGACATGATATGGTGTAGTATGCTATGTTGTCGTATAATGTGACGTGTTATGCCATGGTATGTTGTGTAATGGTGTGTTATGCTATGGTATGGTATAGCAATGATGATATGGTATTAAATGATGGTGATGATGATGACGATTATGATGCTGATGTTGATTAACATGATGCTGATGATGATGATGGTGATTATGGTGATGCTGGTTACGCTGATGATGGTGATGTTGGTGATGGTGATGCTGATGCTGAGGATGCTGATGCTAATTATGATGTGGACGATGAAGACCGTGATGATGATGATGATGATGATGATGATGATGATGATGATGATGATGATACTGATGAAGATTGGCAGTGTAATGATAAAAACAATGATGATGCTGCTGATAGTGGTGACGATAATGATGCTATGATGGTGATGATGCTGCTGCTGATGATGAGGATGGTGAGGATGATGATGCTGATGACGCTGCTGCTGCTGCTGATGATGATGATGCTGATAATGATGCTATGATGATGGAGGCGGTGGTGATGGCGGAGTAAATACTGAGGATGCCTCGAGCGAGGCTCGCGTTTCAGCACCCCCGAGGGGGAGCCGCCAGGGGGTATCTCACTCCTCCTGTCGCGCCAAACATGGCGGGGATGTCTCTAGCGGTGTGCCGTTCTTGAGGATGTCTCGAGCGGTTTGCCCTAGCAGCGGCGCCGTTTGTCGCACCCTAGGGGGATCATATCTTGAGGATGTCTCGAGCGATTTGCCTATTTTGCTAGCCAGACTCGCGTGCACGAATCCTCTTCAGAATGCCACAGGAGGCTCCAGCAGGCTCCAGGAGGCCCCAGGAGGCCACAGAAGGTCCCGGGAGGCCACACGAGGCCCCAGGAGGCCCCAAGAGGCTCTAGGAAGCCGCAGGAAGCATCAGGAGGCCCCAGGAGGCAACAGCAGGCCACAGGAAGCGCAAGGAGGCACCAGGAGGCCCAGAAAGGCCCTTAGGAGCCCCCACGAGGCCCCAGAAGCAGGAGGTCTCAGAAGGCCACAGGAGTGGCCCAGTCTAATTTGATTTTACATATTTTCCTATAGATTGGGCCTCCCCTGGAGTTCGAGTCTTTGGTGTTTACGTATGCTTTTATATATTGTCTTTCTCCTGCGCATCCACTCCTATGTGTTCTACGTCTGTTCCAATGTTTCGGGCCTCCCCTGGGGCACGAGTTCTGGGCGTTTTACGCTTGCTCCTATGGATTGCCCCTGCGGCTCCAATTGGACGTGTTTGTACGGTTGTTCCTATATATTTTGCTTCTGCTGGGGCACGTATCCACCCCAGGAGGGTCTAGGAGGCTCCTGGAGACCCCAGGAAGCCACACGAGGCCCCAGGAGGCCACGGGAAGCCTCAAGAGCCCCCAGGAGGCCCCAAGAGGCCCAAGAAGGCCCAAGAAGCCCCACGAGGTTTCAAGAGGCCCCAGGAGGCCCTGGCTCATGCGCAGAGACGCACTAATAGTATTGAGACTCATTCACGCCCCAACTCGATCACAGTCAGTTTCGCTCCCAGACCGTGAATACACAAGCCCGTTTGTAGTCGACAATTCTTGCACCTAGACGTTCACGGCGGACATGTCCATGCTAACAGATGCACATTGGGAGGCTCCACTCAGTCACGAATTATACTATGTGATGGTATACTATGTTATGTTGTGCTAGATGTTGATGCTGATGCTGTTGATGATGATGGTGCTGATGGTGGTGACGATGATGCGGCTGCTGATGATGCTGATGATGATGCTGCTGCTGCTGATGATGATGATGATGATGATGATGATGTTGGCGATGGTGGCGGAGCAGATTCTGAGGATGTCTCGAGCGAGGCGCGGGTCTCAGCACCCTCAAGAGGGAGCCGCCAGGGGGTAATTGCATTCCTCCGTTCGCGCCAACATTGCGGGATGTCTCCAGCAGCGTGCTTGTGTTATGCCCCAACATCCCCTGCTGTCGGAGCAGAGTTTGAGGATGTCTCAAGCGAGGCGCTGGTTTTCGCACGCACAGGAGGGGGGGTGGGCGCCAGGGGGTATCTCTTTCGTCTGTACGCCCCAAAATTGCGGAGACGTCTCGAGCGGCTTGCTTATTTTATGCCCCAGCATCCTCCGCTTTCGGAGTAGATTCTGAGGATGTCTCGGGCGATGCATTTTTTTCCGCACCCTTGGGGGCACATATTGCGAGGATGTCTCGAGCGGTTTGCCAGCTTTGCTGACCAGGCCCGTCAGCGTTCAGAGCAGATTATGAGGATGTCTCGGCCCAGGCGCTGGCTTCGCACCCCAGGTGGCCCAGATTGTGAGGATGTCCCAGAGTCGCGTATGCTCAAACTCACTCGTATTCAGACTCATTCACATTCAGATTCATACTCATCATACTCATACTCGACCCACCGGCACTGCATACAGTCAGACTCACTTACATTTGGACCCAACAATCTTCATATTCACTCGTAGTCAGACTCACTCGTACTCAGACCCACCCAGACTCAGTTTCATACTCATCATTCTCATTTTCGGTCGCGCTCACGGTCAGACTTACTCACAATCAGAATCATTCACACTCAGACCCACCCGCCGTCAGATTCACTCGTCGCCAGACTCGACCCATTTAGACTCAGACTCGTATTCGCTTCAGCCATATTCATAGTCACTCACATCCAGAATTACCTACAGTAAGACTCACGGTCACTCAAACTCACCCATATTCAGGTTTACGCACTCTCAACCCACTCTTATTCAGACTCTCTCATACCTGGCCTCACCGGCACTCACATTCAACCGTACCCGGGCTCATTCACATCGAAATTCAGTCTTTTTCAGATCATTCATGTTCAGATTCACTCAGTCTTCTCTCCTTTGGTGGTCCATGCCCCCTCGCTCTTCCACTTGTGCTTCCCTCACCTCTCCTGGAAGACACCCACTGCAATCACTGAAGTCGTCGCTGTCGCCGTCATCGTTGTCGCGTCCGTCGTCCACGCCGACTCGCTCTCACACCCAGACGCTCACAGACAGAGTTCCCCAGCTAGAGGCGACCGATGTTTGAGATGCACATGCGGGGGGCTCCACGCAGTGAGTATATTGTTTTGTGTAGTATTGGTGTGTCCTTTTGCTGTTTCTGTTCAGCGCCTGCAGCTTCTCCTGCACTGGCTCCGGGCCCCCGTCAGCCGCCGCCGCTTGACTCTGCGGGTCCTCAGCAGACTTCTTAAGTCGGGCCTGTCCTCCGACAGGCCGAGTGTAGCAGAACAAATTCAAATAGTCGAACCATGTTTTAAAGTGTCCAAGCATGGTCAGAACTTCGTCCCAATCTTATTTTTCGACTATTTTTGAATATTCCTCCTGTAGAGGGACAGGCCCGACTGAAAGGGTGGCTCACGCGCTCACTCCTTCCCCGCTCGGAAAGCAGATGTGCTCTCTCGAACGGTGCCCGTGTCAAAAAGTTGGAGCACCTCATCCTCCTCCTCCTCCTCCTCCTCCTCTTCCTCCTCCTCCTCCTCCTCCTCCTCCTCATCATCATCAGGTTGAGGGTCAGGTTGCAGACGACGGTGGATTGGAGAGGTGGGCCACCCGGAGCTATGCTATGGGCGCCGCTATACCCCGTTTTCACTCGGAAGTGGTTCGGTACGGTGGCGTCCAGCGTGAACGCCCCTGCGGTGCCACATGGGCAGATTGTGAGGACAGTCCACCTCCTCCTCCTCCTCCTCCTCCTCCTCCTTGTCCCTTCTTCTCCTCCTCCTCCTCCTCCTCCTCCTCCTCCTCCTCCTCTCCCACCCCTCCTCCTCGTCCTCCTCCTCCTCCTCCTCCTCCTCCTCCTCCTCCTCCTCCTCCTCTCCCGCTCGCTTCGAACATAAACGACCTCACTGTAAATATTCTCCAGCTTGGACTGGGCCAGATGCTCCGCCAGGGGACCCTGGGCGTGTGGAGGAAGCTGGGCGTTCCCCGTCTGCAGTGCGTTGGCATGGGGGCTACGCTTGTCACGTTCTTCGTCTCGCTGTACTACAACGTCATTTTAGCTTGGACAGTGTATTACATCGGACGAACGATCGCGTCCTTCGGGGGCCCGCTTCCTTGGAGCGACGAAATCGAAGGCTTCCAGTGCAAAGAGCAGGTGCTCATAGTCGCTGCGAACATGACTCACCTCCCACTCATCGTCGAGTCCACTGGCCTCTTCAACCAGATGTACAAGTCCGCGTTCTGGTGTCCCGAAAAAGGCATTCCAGACGCGACGACGGAAGTACCGCCTGGATATGTCAGGACCGGGCAGCGGGAAGTCGGCATAAAGTTGGTCCATCCCCCGAACCTTCCTCCCCCATCCTCCCCAGCCGGGCTCCTTGCCCCATCCCGTTCCCCGCTTCGCCCTCGCCCCCCCTCTCCTTCCCCTCCGCCGTCCCCTTCTTCTGTCCCCTCGCCCTTCCCAGTTTCCCGTTCCCTCACGGGGGGGTGGGGGGGGGGGGGGGGGGGGGGGGGGGCGATTTCCAGTCTTCAGTTTGTCGGGATGAGGGGCCACGTTCGCACGAGCCCATCTCGAGCCGCACGCGTTTTTGTGTGTTGGTGGGGCTGCCTCGGGGCAGGCAGCCGTCGTTGCGCTTCTGCTCTCCCTCGTCTCCCAGCTGGGCGGGGGCCAGGGGAGGGATGGGCGGCACCACCACCACCACTGTTTACGTAGCATCCTCGGGGGGCCTCTCCTGTCCTGTAAATGTCGGTCTTCTCTTGTACTCCGACGTAGGTTCGACACGGATTCCACGTGAATTCGACGTGGAGTCGACAAGGATTCGACACGGGTTCCTCACGGATTCGACGCGCTCGACGCGGATGCGACATGGATGCGACACGGACGGCTGGCGCGATGGGACAGACGAGGTCCCCCAAAGATGCAACATGACACCAGGGGGGGAGACCACAGGGAGCCGTCACCCACCCGATGTGAGTATGACGAACTTTTCAGACGACGGCAGCGGCTGTAAGACGAGAGCTCCAGTTTGAGAGCGTCCCGCCCTCGATCCTTGAAATGATTGGGGAGTCGACGATGCCGCCCCGACCTGGGGAGGATGGATGTCCCGAGCGAGGGGCGCGATCAAAACCACCAGGTGCACCCTCCCTGGCGCCTCGCGCCGGTGGTAGCGGTGGTGTCGCACCCCATGGGTCGCTGAAGGCTCAGCGACTTCTGCCGTCCCTCTGCTCGCCCTGACGCGGCCACGTTTTCGTGCAACTTCTTTTGGACACCGCTGGGTTCAGTTGGGTCAGGTGGATTTGTCCAGATGCGCGGGGGCTTCCCCAGATAGTTTACGAGGGTCTGCATGGATGTGCCCAGACGTATATGCATCTGCCTTGATGTGGCTGGCCCGATCCCCACGAGCCGATTGGCGGAAAGCCGTCACGCCCCGAGGGAATGGGTGGTGGCAAGGGGGCCCAGGTGCGGTGCCTAACGGTTGCGCCAGGAGGAGGAGGAGGAGGAGGAGGAGGAGGAGGAGGAGGAGGACTAGGAGGAGGGAGGAGGAGGAGGAGGAGGAGTCGATCCGAACTCCGAAGCCGAGAGTGACAGCGAAATCGGCACGAGGAGGAGGAGGAGAAGGAGGAGGAGAAGAAGGAGGAGCGGGTTGCACGGAACCGCCCACCCCCAGACAGACCATGGGTGCCAGCGGCGGGCTTCGCAGTCCTCTCGTTACCGTGACGTGCTCGTGACGCCAGCAGCTGGGGCGGCGGAGGGCCAATCCCCTTGGGAGCCTTGAGACGGGGGTCAGTGCAAACGGGGGTCAGAGCGCCGGATATTTCCGGATCCTGCAGGGCCAGGGTCGCATTCACCCGAGTTTGGCTGCAGGATGCTGCAGGATCTTGCAGGATCAGTCGCGTTGACCCCGATTTGGGTGCAGGATCTTTCAGGATCTTGCAGGATTCTGCAAAGCCTGACTGACCCCGGTCTGGATTGACCCTGGTCAGAAGATCCCCGATCCCCTTGGGGCCCAAAAGGGCGGGGGTGGAGGGTCGGAGCCGAGACATGAAACCCGCGGGGAAATGTAAGATTCGAGTGCGCCAGAACTCGGGTTTGTCGAAGCATTTTGACGAGGCACGTCCTCGTTTTTGACGGTCCAGTTTTCGTGAGATGTTTGCGGTGGGAACTCGCGTCAAATTTCAGATTGGACTTCATCATTTTCATAACGTCTCTGTCAGGCCAACCCGAGTCCCCCTTACCCGAGTCTTACGTCTCGCCGGAAAGATCATGGGACAAAAAGGTCATGATAACGAAACAGGTTTGCGTGTGCAGGATTTTCCAGATTTCTTCATGCTCAGCAGGGGCTGCAGAAGCAAGGGCCGCCAGATAGTCTGAACATCTTGGGCAGCATCCTGAGCCCGTCCTGTCATGGTCCGCGACGAAATACTGACCCCTACCCCCGTCCAGGGAAAACATCTAGCGGGGCGTGCATAGATTTTTTCGAGGCCCGTGTGCGCCCATAGCAGAAACGTTGGCATGCCTCGCTGGGGAAACGAGCATCTCGCCAAACTAATTGGTTGATGTTTTGGGATTGGGATCGTCGTTCTGCTGGGGCGAGAGGAGCAGACGCGGTTACGAAATGGCGCGAACGTTGGGATTGCGGGAGACGCGGGACGAGTTAGGGGATAAATATTTACACCCTGTGTTCCAGTGGTTTTTGCAACGTTAGAGATTTCCTGGGCGGGTGACGCGGCACGACGTGTCTCGACGCATGGCCGCTTACAGGTCCAAGGGCACCAGGGATGTTCCGGTTTGGGGGTAAATTTTTCGGCTCCCTTGGACCCGAACAAAAATCATCCCAAACCGTGTGTGTGTGTGTGTGGGGTGATTCGTTGTGAGGTTAATTATGAAAATTTGGTAGGTCTGTACTTCGTCGGTTTTCCCCATGGAGGGTTGCTGCGCGGGCTGATCCTCTCCTGTTTGAGGTGGCCAGTGCTCTCAGAGTATGTGTTATTTGGGTGCGCGGCATAGGTCAGGGATCCAGGCTGACGAAACTTGAGGCGTTCGTTGCCGACCAGTTGATTGTAACGAGTTCTTCAAACCATTGCCTATGGGGCGCAGCGGTCTCGCACTGCCAGGCGTCGGCCGCAATGTCGACAGAATCGCATTGCCGCGGCAGTAACAAATCACCCACGTCCGCGGTTGGCGGCGAAACATCCTGGACAAGGGTAGTGGTGAGAATTCCCCCGCGCACATGAGACCATTCGTGGGCCTCAGCACAGTCTTGCTTCGGTGTTCTTTAGGATCCAGAGCAGCTAAATTTAGGTCGGGGTCAGCGAAATTTTACAGATACCCCAAGAATGGTCAAACATGGCCAAATATGGTAGAACCATCGTCCCCATATGATTGTTCGACTATTTTTAAACGTTCCTCCTTTAGAGGGGCACGCCCGACTTCAGGCTAAGTCGCCCCAGCGCCCCAAGCCCCCTCACGGGGCCCAGCGTCGCCGAGCCCAGCGTTTCTGCCCCAGGCAAAAGCGCCCTCGGCGGGCTTCAGACCAGTCTTGGGCGGAAGTGCTTCGGTCAGCCATGCTCAGAGAGGGGTGGGGGGGGGAGAGGGCTTCTTAGAAGCACCCCTGCGTCTAAGAAGGCCTTGGCCTTATCTATAGAGGTAAGGCCAGCGCCTTCTAAGAAGCAGCCTCCTTCTAAGGAGCCCTCCCCCCTCCCTCCACCCCCTCGTGCGCGCTGCAAATTCGGGCCCAGCTTTCCCACTCCTATCCGCGCCTGCGGGGTGTCATGTGAATTTCATATTTCGATGTTCTGTCTGCGTCAATCCGAGTCGGTATCCTCAGGCGTTATTGGGCTGCTTGTGAAGCGAGGGGCAAGCCAACATCTGCCGAACCAGGGGTGCATGAAGGTAGAGGTAGGCTACTCCCAATCATCCTGTGGTGTTGGGTCCTCGTTTTTGAAAAGACAGGGCCCCGAGTCCCACCTCTCCCCTCCGCCTCACTCCCTTGCCTCTGCCCTCCGTATGTATCTGTTTCGGCACACCTTGCCGTGGCCCCATAAAGGAGCTCCACCGAAGGCCCCAGTGACAAAGTCCGCATGGCGGCCCCACCCCACTTCGGTGCACCCGTCACACGTTGCGTGGCCCCATAGGGAGCTCCACCGAAGGCCCCGGTGGCAGCGCACGCATGGCGGCACCGCCCCATTTCGGCGCATCGCTCACACGTCTCGTGGTTCCATTGGGAGCTCCACCGGCGGCTCCATGGGCAACGAACCCCACCCCAAGCCCTCGCACGCTTCGTGGCCCCGTAGGGTGCTCCACCGAAGGCCCCAGTGGCAAAGTTCGCATGGCGGTTCCGCCCCATTACGGTGCACCCCTCACGCACGCTTCGTGGCCCCATAGGGAGCCATTTCGGCACACCCATCACACATTTAGTGGCCCCATAGCGAGCCCCACCGAAGGCCCCAGTGACAGGGTCCACATGCGGCTCCTCGCCCATTTCGGCACAGTCTGATGTTTCGTTGTCCCATCGTGAGCTTCCCCTCCTTTGTCCCACCTGCCTTGCGGCACGCGCAATTGCACACGGCGGGGTCCTTCGCCCGGATTCTTGTTCTGGTCTCGCGTGAAAGGGGTGCCGTGCTAAATTCTTGCAGCCTCAGGCTGGTGGAGACCCCGAAGCAGTGTCCCGCCCAAGCTGCTGCACAGTTCTGGGAGGAGCAGGTGCTCTGGCAGAGCAGCGGCATGGACGACCTCGGGGGCTTCCATCCAGGACCTGCGGAGTAGAAATAGGAGGAGGAGCAGGAGGAGGAAGAGGGCCGCGGCCCCATGAAGGGAACCCAAAGGTCCCCAGCTTCGAGCTGCTAGGAGGAGGAGGAGAAGGAGGAGGAGGAGGAGGAGAAGGAGGAGGAGGAGGAGGAGAAGGGGCTACCTTACGCCAGCTGCTGCCTCCCGACACCTACCTCGGCATTGCCCTTTTGCTCAAACAGTACGCACTCACAGATGCGATCGGCAGCAGCACAGCTGATTGTACCATCTCGAGACACACTCTCCGACGGCAGCAGCAACGGGCTCCTACGGGACCAACGAACGACAACCACCTCAGGAATAGTTGCGCTATGCAGTGGGCCCCCGAGGGGCATTCTCACCCACAAAGCTTTGCTAGTTTATCCGACGCATCACACAGGCATGGTCTGGGCATGCGTCAGCGCTGAAAGATGAAGCTCTGCTATCATTTGGTCCGTCAGGGGCATTCTCGCCCGCAAGCTATGCGACCGCAGCCGACGTGAGAAGGCATCCACCAGCCTCCAACCTTCCCTGCCTCCTGGTTTCCTTCTCGTGCCCCGCTCCCCCCGCTTCCTCTCGCTAGCCTCACTTGCCCTGATTCCTGTGGCGGCGGAGCGGGTTGGGTGATGATGGTACGGAGCGGGCAGGGTCTCACCGCAGGCCGTCTTGGCAGGGGCCAGGGCGGCCGCGGAAGCAATTGACTGTGCTGCGCATTGGCCACGCGGTCCCCATGTGCAGCTACCCACCTCCACCTTCGCACTCGAGGAGACATTTGGACAGAGGGGGCATGTCACACCAGCAGCCACCGATCCGCTGCCACGGAAAGCAGAAGCCCTCCCAAGCACGTTGGAGATCCCCCAAGTGGCCCCCAATTTTGCGGTCTGGATACCCTACACACGTTTGCATGGAAGGGTACCAGTCTCGGGGATGGGGGCCACTTCGGGGGATCTCCTATATGCAGGGGGAGCGGCCCTTCTTGCTTTTCCACTTGGCGAGTGTGGCCGGTCCCCCCGCGCGGCAAGTGGCACCCGCCATCGCCGGGATGGCCTAAATCTCCCTGACGCTCTGTGGAAACCCAGGGCGGCCCTGAGGTCAAGGTGCTGGGAACCTTACGCTTGGTCCCAGGCGAGGGATCCTGCCTTTGGCCTTCGGGGCTCCTCTGGAAGGGTCCTTGAGAGCAGAGGGGGAGGCCATTGGGCCATCCGACTCGGTGAGCGTGGGTAGGGCAAGGCACCGCCATACAGTGAACGCACTGCCTCTCTGCGCACAGCCACCACGTTACCTTTCCTCCTCGCCTTGCATCCTCTGCCAGCCGGCGCGACCGCACCGCAGCCTGTACAATCAGTCCTGCTGTCCATGCTAGCCGCCTCGTCTCCGTAGTTTCCCTTGATCGCCTTCTACCTCACCCACCTACTTTGCCGGAGCTGCTCGCATCGCCAACTGCGAGCGCGCCGTGGACGGCCGCCATGGCGGCGGCCACGGCAGCCCACTCCAGCAGCATATTCACCTCACCCGCCGTCGCCCCGTGTACTTAGGCAGCGGCTGCCCACTTGCTCCCCGCGCAACGGCGCCTGTACATGTCGCCTCTGCCTCCACCTCTGATGAAAAGGGTACCTCAGATGAGGGGGCCTCTGGCGCTCTCCTTGGCGCTGGACCAAGATGGCCATTTGACCCGAAGGAGAGGGGAGCCGGCGCAACCACAAGAAAACCTGGCCCCAAGAGGCCCCGCCGTTTGTTTCGCGCTTCACCGTCACATTCACAGCTGCTGCCACCAGCAACCCCTCTCTTTCTCCTCCTGTCGAGGTGATGAGATGGTTGGTATGTTGATCCCCCCTTCTGACTGTCTAGTTCGAACATGGTGTTCTACTATTTTTGTTTACTCCCTCGGGGCTGGCGGGGGGAGCGGCATCGGGCGGAGCAGGAGGAGGAGGAGGAGGAGGAGGAGGAGGAGGAAACAACAAACAACACACACCGAGGCGTTCGAGGAGGAACGACAGCAGCAGGACTGGAGGTCTTGCCCAGGAAATCGCGAACGAGCAGCTGCGCTGATGACCATCGCCGCGCCGGGGCACAAGAGACGACGGAGACAACGCGCCCGATGGCACCCAACCCATTCACCTAAATCGTGGTGCGCACTTCCGAGTAAGGGCCTTTTCCGCGCGGGCCCGTTTCGAGACGCAGGCGTGCTGGCCGGCGTGGGGCGAGCAGCTGCCGCTACGTTAATTTTCTCTTCAGGCCGTAAGGTTAACGCGGGGGTCGGGGAGCCGGGGCACAGCCATCCGAGGCGGGGATTTATCCACACCGCAGCCTGGAGGGTCAACCTTCGAAAACCTACGAGTCCCCTACAGGGGGGTTTTGGATGAAAGATGAACAATAGTCCAAATACTTCAAAATAGTCAACAACATGCCCCAACATAGTCAAACCATGTTAGAACAAATCGTTCCCAGAACCTGTTTTGATTTTCTTGTGAATACTCCTCCTGTAGAGGGACAGGCCCGACTTCAACCCAGAGGAGCTGGGGCGCCCCAGGCTCGCCTACTGTCGGGGTCGGGGCGCTGAGGAAGGAACCCTTTCCGTTCGTGAGGGGCTCCGTTGATTCGCAGTTTGCCTTTGGTTTTCCGCAGGTTTTCGATGGGACATCGAAGGTGAACTTGTGGAAGAAAGGGGCCTCGTTCCTTGTTGAGGGTTCCTTAGGTCGAAGCCCCAACTGTAGGGCCCGGTCGTGTTGGCGGTCGTGGGTTGCACGAGGAGTTCGGGCCCAAGCCAGGAGCGCCCACGGCGGGCTATTCAGTCCAGAATGTCCCCAATCAGTGCTTGCACCGAATGGGTCCGAGCAGATATTCCCAAATCAGCGCTTGCATTGAAGGGGTCCTAGAGGAAGCTGAAGGATTTGGCGAAAGTTCCCCGCCGATTTTGGTAGCCGGCTGGGTTCCTGGGTTCCTGGTTCCGGGCTCCCGGGTTCCTGGTTATTGGTTTTGGGCCGGTTTCGGTGGGTTCCCGGGTTCCCGGGTTCCCGGCCAATCTCCTTATCGATCTCTTTATCGATCCCATGTCAAACCATCCATTGATCGGTGTTTTTCTTTGGTGTAATGTGTTTTCGTCCGTCGCTTTTCGAAACCGCCGCGACCCCGCCCTCGTAGTCTGGAAGGTGTGTGGACTTGTACGTGGTATCGAACCTCTGCTCCCACCTCTCCCACCCGTACCCTGCCCCCCCTCCCTTCTGCCCCCCCCCTTTCCCCCTCTCCCCCAACATTTCGTTGTATATCTGTCCGCGGGCGCCAGGTGGTGCAGGACGGTCAGGCGCCGGTCAGCAAGTGGTGGGGTGCACTGGGAGTTGATTGGGGCACGAAGGCGAGAAGGAGCAGAGCGCGAGGGGGGAGCAAGGAAGAGACCGCGCCGTCTCTCCCCTCCCATTTCGTCCATGCCGTTTTCCTCTCCATCCGCCCCTCCCCACACCCCGGCCGCCCTCCTTCCATGCCGTCGTTCTCTCCGTTTTTCATGCTATGCCTCCTCCTCATCATCCCGCCCTCCCCTCTCCGCAGTGCGTGCCGATGCGTTCTCCACGTGGCGCTCGGCTCCGCTCCGAGAGGGCCAGGGGCGCGCGGGCCCTGGACGGGAGGGGGGGGTGCGACAGGGGCGACAGGGGCGTCGCGCGCCGCGCCGTCCGCGGATCTCCGTCGTCGCGCGCCGTCGGAGGAGCGTCGAGGAAGAAGACGGGGCACTAACGTGAGCTTTCGGCGCTCCTCGCGGATTTTTTGGGTCTGCGCTGGCGCCCCCTGGCGGCGCCTCCGGCGCCGCCCCTCGCGCGCTCCGCGCGCCAGGAGGGGCTTCAGCACAACTACAAGAAGTCCGCGCGGAGCTCCGAAAGTTCATGTATATGCCGCTTTGGGTCCTTCACGATCGCGATCGCGTGGATCTCGTTGGATGCATCTCTCAAGGTTCAAGTCGGGCACGTCCCTCTACACGGGGAATATTCAAAAATAGTCGAAACATAATTTCGGTACTATTTTTCTGGTATTGTTTACCATGTTTGGGTATTGGTCGACAATGTTATATTCTCCCTCCAAGATCCGCCTGTAGGGGAACATGCCCGACCTAACTCAAGCTCTCCGCCGCCTCATTCGGGGCGAATTCAAAGCAGGGGCGCAGCGAAGCCACACGACAGCGTTGCTGCGCTCCTACCCAGAACGCAAACCGCCTGAGGCGGCAGATAGCTTGAGAGATCCATCCAACGGAAAGGAGCGTGTTTCTCTATTGCTTTGGGCATCATGGGCATTATAGCCCCCGGGCCCCTCCCCCCCCCTGTAACGCAACGCCCCTCCCCCTCTCAGTGCGCTCCGGGCACTGCCGCCGTGCGCACGGGGGGGGGAGGCGTTACATTAACTATACCCTCTCCCTGGCCCCTCCCCCCCCCCTGTAATGCCCATTATCGCCGAAAATAAAGAAACGCGCTCGAGCGGCTCTCCGTAGCGCGCGCGCTCGAAGGAATGGTGGTCTCCTTCACGATCGCGTGGATCTTGGTCTACGGCTGCATCTGCAAAGGCCGGGGGGGGTGCGATGACTGGAGGCGGCCCGCCAGCATCCACCGGTTAGAACTTGTGGGCGAAAATGCATAGCCGCATCCGCGGCCTCGCGAGCCGGGCTCCTGGGCTGCGACCCCGAGGATACGAGGCGTTGTCTCGCCGAGCCTCGCGCGGAGCGCATCCGTGCGACCGCGCATCCGCGCGGGATCACGCCCCAGAGTCCAGACCGCGAGGGCGTGGAGGTTGCTACGCTCAGCGCTCGTGAAGAGCGCCTGGGCAGGAGGACTGGGACGGGGAGCGAGGGATCGTCACGAGCGAGAGGTAGGCTTCAGTCGGTCGGGCCTGTCCCTCTAGAGGAGGGATATTCAGAAATAGTCAAAAAATAATATTGGGACTATTTTTGTATTATTTTGGAGCATTCGGGGCGCATTTTTTAGGATGGTTAACTTTGTCGCCCCAAATCCCCCTGTTGGGGGCCACGCCCGATTTAAAGGTAGGCGCCACCAGGGGACGGGATGGCCTCGCGCACTGGCGGTCGTTCGGTCGCCGCTCGGCAGGCCCTCGAGGCGGCTCGGAGTTTTTCTCCTTCGTCTGCAGCTCTGCGGCCCTGCCCTGGACTGAGACGGGAGCCGTTCCAGCAGGATCGGGGGGCAGCGCCGGAAGCAGAGGATCGGGAGAGGGGGGGGGGGGAGGCACCACGGAGGAGTGGCGGGGTGGCGTTCAGAGCAGTGTGCGTGCCAAGAGGCGATTTCTTCAATGCCAGCTCGTGCGGATCGGCCATGATTGCGTCTGCCATGTGTTCTCCCCCGCCCTCCACATGCGTGGTTTCGTCCAGCTCGCCCTCTTCCCTCCCTTCCCTCCCTGCTCCCCGCCTCTCCACCCAGTCATACCCAAGCCCTCCCTCGTCACTCCCGCCTCGGATGGGCCGTTCGGGCGAGAGAGAGAGAGAGAGAAAAAGAGAGAGAGAGAGAGAGAGATCGACCACGCCACGCAGCGGGGCTGCTTCCGAAGAGCGAGCCGAGTGGTGGTGCCGTTTCTCAGTCGACCGCGGAGCGCTGCCTTAGAGAGCGGGAGTGCCAGCTCAAGTGTCAAGCAGTGGCGATGCGTCCTGGCGTGCCTACAGGCCTACCATTTCATGTGTTGATAACCTTTTGTGGTTTCCACGAGATGCTCTTAGAACACTTCTGGCTGCGACTGTCTTGCTTCAACACATCGGTCTTATGTTATAAGAACATTGGTTTGTTTTTAGAATATGTTTGGGTTCTAAGAACAGTTCGTGGTAGGCCTATAGGAATGCTGGGACGGTCGGTCCCTGCTCAAAAGTGAGGAGAGCCAGATCGGAAGTTTTCGATCGCCAGGGGTCGCGTCGAGCGGCAAAGTGGTCTACGTCACGGCCACGTTGCCCTACGTTGCGCTGGTGGCCTTCTCCTTCCGGGCGAACTCCCTGCCGAACGCGGCCGCCGGAATATACTTCTTCGTCAAGCCAGACTTCAAGGTCTTGCTCGACACGAGGGTGACGGGAGATTCCAAAGTTCGGAGGCCTGGAGGTTGCCACGCACAACAATGTCGGCAGTGTGCCTCCACCGAATGAAAATGATTCCGATCTCGGTTATCGTGGTAATATTCGGATTCCCAGGTGGCCGACATATGAGCACCAACCATCACCAGCATCTTGAACCATCTTCCCCCGGTGGAGGCAACCCCTCGTGTTGGTGCTGATGCTCATTTCCGGAGCACAGCGAATATGCATGAATACCTGTCTTAGCCGCGGGGGGGGGGGCCTGAAAGTTGAATATCGCAGAATGGTGTCCGTGGCAATCTACTTCGCAGCCGCAACGGCGTTGTCCCGATGACGACGGCGCAGGCCCTCTTCGGGGGATAACCAGACGATTCCGCGTGACCCAGCCGCCCTTCCCCCGCCGAGGATGCCAGGGCACTCTGGAGGCAACATCAGTGTATACCTCAGACTCCCATCAGGACGCGGCTACGCGCATACACTATATATATAGAGATCTACCAACCGCGCCAGATTTGTGCATACACCCCACCAAAAAAACAGCGAGTTCCGGTATACATCGAGAATCGTATACACCAATCGTCTGGGCTAGGTTTCGCCGACGGGGGCGGGGCGGCTGGGGTCCGCGGAATCCGGCTCATCCCTGGTGGGCGAGTCACAACGAGTTTGCATGTGTGCGTGTGCGTGCATGTAGCCACGCGCATGCATTCACGCGGCGCGGGCAAGACGACGAGGTTGCCAAGTTCTATCGATTCGGAAGGGTATACCTGTATCGTTGGTGTCATTTCTAGACCTCCAGAAATTGGTCCCATCGGCCCTGTCTCCCCCCCATCACTCCCTGCTCTTCCCCCCTCCCCCTCTCTCGCATGACCTCGTGGGCGGGAGGCATATCCATATCCACGACCTCGCGGGCTGGGCCCTGGACCGCGACCCCACGGGTACGGGCTGTGTTTTCGCGGATGGCCCGCGAAGAACGTGTTCATACGACCGCGTATCCACGGGATGGCTCCTTTGGTCCAAACCGCGGAGGCGTAGATGTGGGTATGTTCGCCGCTCGTGATCATGCATCCCCCACATCCCCTCCCCTCTCCATCCGCCACTCCCCTCCCAAGAAATGCGATGTCGTCCTGATGTTTGTTCAACGCGCGGCCCCCAGACATCTGACTCAATTGTTGTTTTGGCTCGATTTTGTCCAGAAATGAGATTCACTGTTATGTCCTAGCTCGATTTCAGCAGTCCGGGATCTCGAAATGAGGCTCACTATTCCGTGTTGGTTCCAGTTGGTCCAGACATGGGATTCATTATTGCGTTCTGGCTCGCTTACAGCCTAAAGATCCCTTCTCACCAGGGGGGCTTTTTTTGGCTCTTGTTCAGCCGTCGGAGATCGAGAAGTCAGACTCACTTTGGAGTTCTGGCTCGATTTGGTTCAGGAGTGCGGCTCAGTATTATGTTCTGCCTCGATTCCAGCCCTCCCAGATCCAGACATGGGATTCATGATGGTGTTCTGGCTCGATTTAGTCCACATGATTATCATTGTGGTGTTTTGGCTGAATTTCAATGCAAAGATCAGTTCCTCCTGTGAGAGTCTCCGCAGGAGGGGCTGAGCGTTCTGGCTCAATTTCGCCCCTTGCAAATCCAGAAATGATGCTCACTATTGTGTCTTGGCTCGATTCCAGCCGTCGCAGGTCCAGAAACTGTGGCAGCGGAAGTGGGGATCTCACCATTCCAGCTGTCTTAATTCCAGAAAGTATGGCAGCGCCACAGGCCTCTCACCATTCCAGCTGCCAGGAGTGGCTTCGCTCGGTTCCTCATGCTGCTCCAAGCGCAAACACCTCACCACGTCAACATAACGAACGTCCCCCTCACAAGGAAGTTTTAATTCCGTAGTCGTATCGACAAAACGGTGAGGTCGTTCTCGCGATCTTGGTTTCAGGCGCCCATCCGCCTCCACACCTTTGAAGCGATCAGGGTGCTTCATGGGGATGGTTCACCCCGAGTAGTTTCTGTTGACGGTCCTGCAACCTGGCGAGGATCCGATTTATCCAGATATTTCGGAATCCACAGCTCGAGCGGGGCTGGGACAAGGATGCGTTCCACAGCTTTCTGGGGCGGCTGCGATGCCCGATACATGTGCCAGAATCGCCAGATCTCACAGATTCCGTTTATGCCCCGTTTCGGGCCCTGGGACCATTGCGTGTCGGTCCGGCCAGAAAAATGCCGCAGGAAGATGGAGTTTTGGGCTTTGGTCGTGGTGTTTTGAGATGTTGCAGTCATTCAGCTACAGCGACGTCGGATCTCGGAGGGGGGCGGGGCGGCGGAGCGTCTTGCAGGACGGGTACCCTTGCTCGCTAGAACCTCTCGGGGCGGATGGCGGAGGTCAAAGGAGAGACGACAGACGGGCTTTTTCCGATTCAGTCGATCCGACGAGATTCCGGTCCGGTCCGGCTCGATCGGTTTTGGTTCTGATATTCCAACGGTCCGATGTGGACCGATGTTTCATTGTGCTGTTGTGTATTTTGGCGCGGTCGATCCGATTCTGACTCCGTGCCGATGCAGCCCAGTCCGACGCACGTTCCAATCCGAGGCGATTCCCCGATCCGGTGCTGATGAGCGGTCCTGACAAAGGCAGAGGCAACCGAGATCCCATGTGGCAAGCCCGCGCTTCGTCCAGGTGTGGGTGACGCTTGGGCCTGTCACCGACCAGTAGTTGGCCTCCCCCCGCTGTGTTCTCGGTGCTGGTGGTCCCTGTTTCTCTTTTGAGGAGGGGGAGGGGGGAGGAGGGCGAGGAGGAGGAGGAGGCGGCGGAGGAGGAGGAGGAGGAGGAGGAGAAAGGGGCGGCGGAGGAGGAGGAGGAGGAGGAGGAGGAGGAGGAGGAGGAGGAGGAGGAGGATGAGGAGGAGGAGGAGGAGGAGGGAGGGGGGAGGGGGGGCGTCGACCACAACCGCACAATGACCAGAGTCTCCACGATGCCTCAAGAGGATGCAGGAGGCCCAGAGAGGGCCCACGAGGCCCCACGTGGAGCCGCGCAAGGGCTGACTCCGGCACGCTGGTCCGGTCGGCGGCCACGAGAGGGAGGAGGTCAGCACGAGGGACGGGGGGCCCCTGGAGGTCGCGCGCCGCTGGCAGGCTCCCCGCGGGGGGCCCTCCCAGACCGTCTCGGGGCCGTCCTCGGCGTGGAGTCGGAGGTTCGTCGCCGAGAGATCGCGGATGGGCCCGCTAGAGCGAATCCGCACCTTCCGGGGGGGAAGGGGGGGGGGGGCTGTCGGGCCACTGTCGGCGATGAATGGGCGGTTGGATGTGGATGCATCTCCCTGAGCCCATCCCAGCCTATCGCTGCCCCGGAGTAGAAGGGGAGAGGTGGAGAGAGCAGCGGACGCCTCCCAGGTGTGGTTGCGCGCCGTCACGCAGATCTTCTACTCGCTGGGTGTGGGCTTCGGCTCCATCATCGCCTTCGCCTCGTACGGCCCGGTGAGCAGCAACTTCCCCAGGGACGCCGGAGCGGGCTCAAGGAGGGGAGGCTGAGGAGGAGAAGGGTTTTTCCATCAGCGACGCGATCTCCTCAGGGCGGAGCCAATCGCAGGCTGTTCAGCGACAGAGGGTGCTGCATTCACGACGGCCTCGCTCGCCCAGAGAAGGGCCTGGGGAGCTCGAATGCCCGCCGCAAGGGATCTGCACTGCTCCCTGATCTGGCGGGCGAGTCCCCTGGCTCGCTGAGAGTCGCGGTGCGCTCGAGGCGCCCGCCAATTTGCGGGCCGCAGCCCCTGACCCTGACTGAAGTCGAGCAGGTCCTTCTACAGGGGGAATCATGAAAAATAGTCAAAAAATGATAGGGGGACGACTTGTTCAATATTTGTTTTGCTATCTTTGAATGTTTTTCCTGGTATTATTTTTAACTGTTCGTCTGCAGCCCCCCGAACCCAGACCTAAACCCAGCCCCCCGAAGGACATGCCTGACCTAAACCCAGACCGAACCGATGGCCAGCATGGGAGAGGCGGCCCGTGCGGGAGAGCCTCCAGCCCTCGCGGTGGCCGGCTGGGCTCGGGAGGTGTCGGGAGCGTGGCAGAGGCCGCTTTTCTCGAGTGGAGGAGGACGAGGAGGAGGACGACGAGGACGAGGAAGGGGAGAAGGAGGAGGACGACGAGAACGAGGACGAGGACGAGGACGAGGACGAGGACGAGGAGGAGGAGGAGGAAGAAGAGGAGGAGCAGGATGAACATCGCTCAGGACGCTGGAACTGTTTCGCTCATCAACTGCGGCACGTCGATATTTGCAGGATTCGTTGTCTTCCCGATCTTGGGTTTCCTCGCGCTGGAGCTCTCTGAGACGGACCCGTGCATCGACGGCAGCAACTTGGAAGGCCTAGGCGACATATTTGGACTCTTTGTCTTCGCCTCCAAGCTCAACAAATTATCATCCCTTTGTGTCCAAGCCTCACTTCTCCCCCTTCCAAACCCCCATCCTCCAGCTCTCCCTTCTACCTGCAGCCACCCGCCCCATCGCTAAGCTTTCCCGACCCCCCCCCTCTATGCACCTCCCTCTTCATCCCCTCACCCGTGCTCCCACATCCCCTTACCATCACCTCCCCCTCCTCTCTGGTCTCTTCAAATTCCCCTCTCTGTTCTCCGTTTGCGAATTTCTATGAACACAGTTTCTATTCGCTTCGCGTAACCCACCAGCCCATCCAGAAGCGATGCCCAGACGAGTTGCCTTGATCAGGGATGCGGAGGAGAATGAGGTGGACTGAAGGGCTGGTCAAGACGTCGTACCGCATGAGGGGGCGGATGAAGGAGGAATGGGAGGATAAGCAGGAGCAGGAGGAGGAGGAGGAGGAGGAGGAGGAGCAGAAGGATAATGAGGAGCAGGAGGAGGATCAGGAGGAGGGGGATGAGTGAGGAGGAAGGAGGAGAAGCAGGCGGATGAGGAAGAGGGAGGAGGAGGAAGAGGAGGAGGAGGAGGAGGAGGAGGAGGAGGAGGATGGCGAGCAGAAAGGCTGGAGGCCTTTGGGATGCCTCTCGGAGTCTCGTCTGGACGTCTCTTGAGAGTCCTCTTGGGGCGTCTTGGCAGTCCCGGGGGACTCTTGAGGCGTCTTGGGTGCCTCTCGGGGGCCTCTTGGAGCCTCTTGGGGATCTCGTGGGAGCCTATTGGCAGCATCGTGGGGACCTCTTGGAGGCTCCTGGGCCAACATGTAGCCAAAACCTGCCCCCCTCCCCAGGAGGCCAAAATGTAGCCAAGACCTTAGTGAAATCAATGATGTTGGCCTTCTCGCCGAGGCCTTTTGGGGCGTCTTGGGTGCCTATCGGGGAGCTCTTGGGGCCACTTTGGGGGTTTCTTCAGGGCATCTTGGGGGCCTCTTGGGGCTCCTCTTGGGGACCTCCTGGCGCCTCCTGGGCACCTCGTGGGACCGTCTTGGGGCACCGTTGGACGCCTCGGGGGCCATCTTGGGGCCATCTTGGATGCTATTGATCAAAGGATGGGCCGTAGTACATCCGGGTCACCCCCCAACAGGGCCATCATGTAGCCAAGGCCTGTTGAGGCGTCTCGGGTGCCTCTGGGGAGCCTCTGGGGTCAGACGGGCTCTCTCGGGAGCCTCTTGGGGGCAGTTCGGGGGCCTCTTGGGGCTCCTCTTGGGGCTCCTCTTGGGGCACCCTCTCCGCGCGGCACTTGTCCGCGCGGCACTTGTGGGCGGCTTGCCCGCGGTTCGCCGAGGCCCGCGCCCGCCTCAGCGCCGAGGTCGGGGTCCCTGCGGGCTGCTGGGCGGCCCAGCCTCGGGAGGGGTCACTGTGTTTTCCCAGAGGCATCCTGCCGCTACGCAACCGGTGCGGAGCCTCGGGGGCCATCTTGGGGCCATCTTGGAGCAGATCGATCAAAGGAGGAGTCGCAGTACATCGGGATCCTGCCCAGGAGTCCCAAATGTGGCCAAAGCCTTCGTAAAATCATTGATTTCGGCCTTCTCGCCGAGGCCTCTTGGGACGTCTCGGGTGCCTCCGGGGGGCCTCGTGGGGCCTCTAGGGTTTTTGGGGGGATCCTCTCGGGGGGCCTACTCGGAATCCTCTTGGGGACCTCGTGGGGCCTCCTGGGCACCTCTTGGGGCGTTGGAGCACTCTTGGACGCATCGGGGGCCACCTTGGGGCCATCTTGGATGAGATCGATCAAAGGATGGGCCGTAGTACATGCGGGTCTTCCCCCGCATAATGCCAATATGTAGCCAATACCTCAGAAACGTTAAGGATTTTGGCATCCTCGCCGAGGCCATCTTGGACGCTCCACCCGGTCTCCAGTGGTTTTCGGGGGTTCTGGAGGTCTCCAGTGGTTTTCGGGGGTTCTGATGCAGCCACGCGCAGAAGGGGTTGGGGGGAGGGGGGAGGGCTTCTTAGAAGCACCCCTGCTCCTTAGAAGGCGCGGGCCTTATCTATAGATGTAAGGCCGGCGTCTTCTAAGAAGCAGCCTCCTTCTAAGAAGCCCTCCACCCTCCTTCAACCCCCTTGTGCGCGCCGCCAACCAACTGACTGTCGGGACTGGCGTTCGGAGCATGTGGTCTCTGAAGCATCCTTCCATTGTGTATGGGCATCCTGTGCATGCTCTCTACCTCTTCTGTCCAAGGATACCTTGGTATTGAAGATGGCGACGGGGAGGGAAGGAGGGAGGGAGGGAGGGAGGGAGGGGGGAGGGGGAGGAGGAGGAGGAGAAGAAGGACAGATGAGGAGGAGGAGGAGGAGGAGGAGGAGGAGGAGGAGGAGGAGGAGGAGGAGGAGGAGAGGAGGAGGAGGAGGAGGAGGAGGAGGAGGAGGAGATCACCACGTCGCCGTAGGTGACCCCAGCGACACGGTCGGTGAAGACCACGTCCAGGCGCGCGGCCTCGAAGGAGCCATCCAGGCGCCGCCTGTCCCAGGCGGGGACGAAATGCTCCGTCATGACGTCCAGGGCGCCCCGCGCCGCCAGCCAGCGCACGAGCCAGTCGCGGATGCGTCGTGCTTCAGAACCGTGCCGCCCCCCAGTCGGGGTACCTGAAGGATGCCCAGGGCCTGCGCGCAGGCCAGCCCCGCATCAGGAGCCGTCGGGGCGGCGCCGGAGGCACCTCGCGCTGGCCCCTGGCGGGCGAGGCAGGCGGAGCCGCATGGCCAGCGCAGGCCAGAAGTGCTCGTCCGCGAGAGCGCGGTCCGGCTCCGTGGGCGGGAGGGAGCCAGCTCACGGCGCGTTTCCCGCTGGCCGAGCCGAGGCTCGCTTGCTCCGGTGGCGGCAGGGAGGCGAGCAGGCGAGCGCGGCGCTGCTCCTGCGCCGGCCTCGCTGGGCGTCGCTGCGCTGTCTCCTCGCGCGCCGTTGCTGCGCGCAGCCAGCGCGCGGCGCCTGCGCCCGAGCGCCCTGCCGCTGCTGCAGTCGCCCAAGGCTGCCACCACTCACCAAACCACCCCAACCCAACCCGAAGGCCTCAATTTGCCCTCCACTTCCAGTGGGGGGGGGCGGGGAACACTGCGAAAACGCATGGAACGCGCACCTCCCCCCAACCCGGGCTGGGGTGGCCTGGTGCATAGGTAGTCAGTCCGGGTGGCAGGCTGCAGCGGCAGGCTCGAGGCTCGGCAGGGCGAGCCCGCCGCGCACCTCGGCCAGGCACGCCAGCCGGGAGCCCGCGAGTCAGGAGGGGAAAAAACACACAATGAGTCGTCGATCCCTAGGAAAATACAGGATAATACGGGAAGTGGGGGGAAGACAAAAACCACGAATATATATATATATATATATATATATATATATGTATATATATACATATATATATATATATGTGTGTATGTATATATATATATACATATATATATGTGTGTATATGAAAACAGGGGGAGCCATGTTATTTGCGTGTATGTATTTGTGTGTCCCAGGGCCCCTTCAGCGAGGGCGGACAGGCGGCGCCCCCAGAGGCTCTGCCAGCCCCTCTGCCAGGGGGGATGTAAGCTCGAGCAGTGGCGAAGCGTCCTGGCTCGCCTATAGGCTTAAGTCGAGCCTGTCCCTCTACAGGAGGAATATTCACAAATAGTCAAAGTAGTCTGGGGACGATTTTTTGAGCATTGTTTGACCATGTGGGGGTTATTCTTTGAGTATTTTTCTTCATTCGTCGCCCAAAATTCCCCTGTAGGGCGACAGGCCCGACCTGATGCCAGGGGCATGTAAGCTCGAGCAGTGGCGAAGCGTCCTGGCTCGCCTACAGGCCCGCCAAAGAAAGTTCTGAGGATCTGTTGTGGTCTGCACGAAATGTTCTCAGAACAGTTCTGGCTGGGACTGTCTTGCTTCAACATATCGGGTTTAGGTTCTAAGAACATTATTATTATTATTATTATTATTAGAACATGTGTGGGCCCAGGAGAAGTTCGTCGTAGGACTATAGGGATGCTGGGACGGTCGGTCCCTGCTCAATCTGCCTGCTCGCGCGCCGCTGCGGTCAGCGGCTGCCCAAGTACGTCCTGCAGGTGCCACAAAACCCGGGCCTCGTAGTCTCAAGTCGGGCACGTCCCTCTACAGGAGGAATGTCCAAAAATAGTAAAACAGATATTGTGGGGACGATGTTTCGACTATGTTTGAATCATTGTTGTGTATTATTTGTTATGTTTGATTATTCGTCCAAGCTCCGCCTGTAGGGGAACATGCCCATCTTAAGTCGGGCCTGTCCGTCGAGGAAAATTCAAAAATAGTAGAAAAATCGTCTTTAGACGATTGTTCTAGATTTTTACCTAACAGCGAAGACTGATAGGTTTCTAGTGGTGTCAAAAGAGAGCAGCAGATGACTCCACAGGGGGGTCCGGGCGGGACCCGGGGCGGCTGCCGTCGAAGCCCAAATCGCTTTGGACATCCTCGCAAAATCGCTCTTGGCGCTCCCAGAACGCCATTCCCGGCGTACATTTTGGATGCCCAGAGCCAATTGTAGGCCACTTCGTGGTCTTCGAGTTCCCAGAACTCCATTCCCGGCGTACATTTTGGATGCCCGGATCCAACTATAGGCCACTTCGTGCTCTTCGACTTCCCAGAACTCCATTCCCGGGCCACATTTTGGATGCCCGGAGCCAACTGTAGGCCATTTCGTGCTCTTCGAGTTCCCAGAAAGTTCATTCCTGGGCATGATTTTGAATGCCCAGAGCCAACTGTAGGCCACTTCGTGTTCTACTAGTTCCCAGAATTCCACTCCTGGGCCACATTTTGAATGCTGAGGCAGGCTGATGCTGCGGCCGAGGCAGGCCGAGGCTGAGGCAGGCTGAGGCTGAGGCCGAGGCTGAAGGCAGACTGAGGCTGAGGCTGAAGCAGACTGAGGCTGAGGCTGAGGCAGGCTGAGGCTGAGGCTGAAGCAGGCTGATGCTGAGGCAGGCTGAGGCTGAGGCTGAGGCTGATGCAGGCTGAGGCTGAGGCAGGCTGAGGCTGAGGCCGAGGCTGAAGGCAGACTGAGGCTGAGGCTGAAGCAGGCGAGGCTGAGGCTGAGGCAGGCTGAGGCTGAGGCAGGCTGAGGCTGAGGCTGAGGCAGGCTGAGGCTGAGGCTGTGACTGCGACTGCCGTTGCCGCTGCGACTGTCATCGCGAATGCGACTACGACTGCGAGAACAACAGAATTCTACAACTGGATTCTCATCTGAATCTTAAGGGGAATGCTTCCAGATATGCTCCTACACATCGCTGTTAGGTTGCTTTGCCGGGATAATTTGACTATTTTGGTGTATTTTTTGACTATTTCTGATTCTTCGTCCAAAATTTTCCTGTAGGGGAACATGCCCGACCTAGTCGTGGTCGGCGCGCCAGGCCCCGCCGAGCAGGAGCGCCCGCGCGCACGGAGCAGAGCAGCCCTGGCGTGCAGGCGTGCAAGCGTGGCTCCCGGCAGGTCCCCCGAGAGAGCGTCAAGCCGGCCCCCGCCACTCGGAGAAGAAGCTGCGCCATGGAGAAAAGCCCTAATCAGCCAATCAGTGGATGGTTTGAAATGGGATCGATAAGGGACTTTCTTTTGAATCGGCGATGACCCGGGTTATCCCGTGGGGGGGGGGCGGTGAGGGGGCCGGCCGATAACCTAACCCTCGCGCTGTGGGCAGCCCTGCATATGCCCGCGCCCCCCCCCCGTTTTCCCGCGGACCTGCACAACCGGCAAGGTTAGGTTATCCTGGGGGGGGGAAGGGGGGGGCAAGCCCGATAACCCTGATTATCGCCCGACCCTAAAAAGCAGTCTCTAATGAGATCGAGAAGGCGACCACCCGGGAACCCGGGAACCCGGAACCCACCGAAATCAGCCCGGAGCCAGGCCACCAAAGTCGGCGGGACCTTTTCGCCAAATCTTTTATTTCCGCCAGGACCCCTTCAGTGCAAGCAGTGCTTAGGGGAACTGGCGCTCCGCGCGGGTTTCTTGGATCCGCGCTGGGCCGCGCTCCGCCCGCCAGGGGGGGGGTTCCTGCGCAGGTCCAAGAACTCCTCGCGGAGCGCCACAAAAGTTGATGTTTATGTTACGTCGTTGTTTCTCTTCTAGCCATCCCCCCCTCGTCCGCCCCCCCCCCCCTACGGTGGAGGCGTTTGGTAAGGAATCCGCCCAGGAGGCTGCAGACCCTGGAGGGTTCCTTGTCTGATTAGGGTGGCGGCGATGTCCACGGCCGATCCGCGATTGGAACTCCACTGGCTTCCAGACCCTGGATTCCTTGTCTCGCGAGCGGTGGGTCCCAGCCAACGCGAAGTGCGGAGATGATCGCGTCCTCGGTAGAGGAATTCGGCGGCAGGGTGGAGCTAGTTGGCCGATCGGGGCAAAATGCAACTTCTGGTGACCTGGACTCTGTTTCTGGAAGTCTCTCAGGGATTCAACGAGTCGTCTTGAAATTCAGAATTTTTCCACTAAGCATTGGATCGCGCTGCGTCTGCTAGTAAAGTTGGCTGGGGCGCCGCTCTCGAGCCGTGCGTGCACGGCTGGGGCGCGCCTCCCGAATCCTATGCGCGGGCACGGGTCTCGGCCCTCGAAGCGGGGACAAAAAAAGCCCCCCCGCCGTGTTCCCCTTCCGCGGGCCGCCCTGTGGAGCCCTGGGGGGGGGAGGCGTTGGGCCCTCCCGTGCCGCCTGGTCTTGCGCTCGCCGGCAGCCGTCTCGCGGCGCTGCGCGATGGAGTTGTTTGGGAAAAACAGGGGGAGAGAAAAGGAGGAGGAGGAGGAGGAGGAGGGGGAGGAGGAGGGACAGAGAAAGAGAGAGAGAGAGAGAGACAGAGAGAGAAAGAGAGAGATAGACAGAGAGAGAGAGAGAACAAACAAGCGAGAGGGCGATTGGGGGTTGAAAGGCTAGGGAAAAAGAGAGAGAGAGAGAGGGCGATTGTAGGGTGGAGGGAGACAGAGTGAGAGAGGGAGAGAGAGAGACAGAGAAATTGAGGAAGAAAGGCGGAGGGGGAGGGACGGCTATGCATGATTGTCAGGGCGTCTTGGGAGGCCTTTCGGGGCCTTCTTGAACTCTCTGCGGTCTCGCTTGGGACTGTCCTGGGGCGTCCAGTCGGCCTCCTGAGGGGCAGTCTGGGCTGTCTCGGGTCTTCTTGCGAGGGCCTTCGTGCGCCGTCTTGGGGCCGTCTTGACGCCCTCCGCGGGTCGTCTTGGCGGTCAGCCCGGGCCGTTGTGGGGTCCCTCTCGGGCCGCCTTTGGGCAGTTCATGGGTCATTCGCGGGCTGCATTGGAGGGCCTCCTGAGCACTCATGGGGCCATCCTTTGGCCGCAGAGCGTGAAGAGTAACTCATAAATGCCAAGACGATCCCCGCACGTGGACAACACAACCAGGGAGTTGCCCGTCTGACGCCGTGCAGCCAGTGGGAGAAACCCATGCTCGCCAGAATCCGTGGGAATCTCGGGGACCGGCCTGGCCTTCATTGCCTTCCCGATCGCCATCTCGCAGATGGCGGGGAGCAGCTTCTGGGCCATGCTGTTCTTCGTCATGCTATTCTGCCTCGGCATCGATTCGCAGTTCGCCATGTGCGAGAGCGTCATCACAGTCTTAAGCGACGCCGGTGCGGATAAGTGGCTGACAAGAAGATTGGGCTGTCAGTTCTCCAAAGGGAGATTTGTTTTCTTATACTGCGCGATCAGCTACATGAGTGGGCTGATCTTCTGCACCCGTGCAGGGGTGTACTGGTTCAACTTGTTCGATTATTCAAACGGCTTGCGCCGTTCTGCCGACCCCCAGACGAGGCGGGGAGTCCACAGGTGAGGCGTCGTGGGCATCTTGGGAACTGTCTGGGGGCCTGGTGAAGCTGCTTGGAGGCAATTTCGAATCGTCTCGGGGGCCATTTATGGGCCTCTTGGGGGCCTCTTGGGGCTTATTGGGGGGCCTTTTTAAGGCCGCTTGGGGGCTTCTTGGAGCCCGGTGGGGGCTTCTTGAGGCGGAACATCGATTTTCGGTTCGTGTTCTCCCTCTTGGTCTCTCTTGGGGCATCCTTGGGGCGATCTTTGGCCATCTTGGTCCCCTCTTTGGGCCGTCTTTGAACCCTCTTGGGGTCCTGGGGCCCTCGTAGGGCCCTCGTAGGGGCCTCTTGGGCAGTTTTGTGGCGGTCTACGCGGCCTCGACGTCTAGGAGCGTCGGAGGCTCGCGAAGACGATAACCCTAGAAGCATTGAAACGTTGACCATTGATGTTTGCCTCTCGGGGTTTTCTTGGGAAAGCTCCTGGGCCTCTCCTTGGGGCGTCGCGAAGGCATGTCTGAGCCATCGTAATTAGGCGCCTTGGGCCAATCGTTTGGTGATTCGGGACCGTCTTCGCACGTCGCTGAGGCCCCAGAAGGCAGATTTGTAGGCTCTAGAGTCTCCAGGGGCGCGCCAGGGAGCCCGCCTGGACATCCCCCCCAGGCCCAGCGCCCCCCCCCCCCTGCTGAAACAAGCTTTTGGACCCTGGGGGAGGGGAACGGGGCAGGGTTGACGGCCAATCATCTCACACGCCTTCTCACCCCTGGCAAGAGAGGGCCTGCGGACTATTCATGCGTTGTGGGACTCTTTTTCGTCACGTTTCTGGAATGCGCGGGGCTAATGTGGTTGTCACCGAAGGAGACGTATCCGGCTTTCAAGTCTTGGGTTATGGAGCAAACTGGTCATGAATTGGGTTGCCACTATTGGATGTTGTGGAAGTTTGTGGTCCCCGTGTTATTGTTGGTCGCGGGTGCGGGGAAATATTGATCTAGGGAGTGGAGAGTTGAACCATGGCACGAGCTTGGTCATAAGTCCATCACAGGGCGTGCCAGGGAGCGCGTTGTCAAACAATCAGTTGTCTGTCTTTGGCTGTTGGCCGCATTCTAACATTTGACGTTCCGCGTTTCCGTACCAGCCCATCAAAACAGAATTGAGTCCAGGTCGAGATGCCATCTTCATGAGAGGGTTATTGGAGTGCTTGTGGGGTCATACATTGGCCGTTTGCGGAGGGCCCATGAGAGGCGAGCTTCCGGGAGGGGCAGACGAGGGCTTGGAAAAGCCGCCTTGCAAACCGCTTTTACCCAGAGGTTGGCGAGACCCGCTCATATTTGCCATTGCACCCCCTCAGTCCTCCCACAAGTGAGTTGTAGATGTCGCCCTGGCATACATACGAGGTCGGAGGATCGCGCCGCATCGCCGATGCGTCGGCCATGCGGGCCGATGTGGACCCCGATATTCTTAAGTCGGGCCTGTCTCTCTACAGGGGTCATTTTCAAAAATAGTCAAAAATAGTCTGGGGACGATGTTTTGAGTATTTGTTTGACTATTTTTGAACATTTAAAACTATTTCTCGTTTTTCGTCCAAAATCCCCCTGTAGGGGGGCACGCCCGACCTAACGATCTTCTCCACGCCGACATCGCGGCTGCATCGGCGATGCGGCGGGATCTGCCGACTCCACTGCCGACTGCCTGCCGGGGGGCTGCCGGAGCCGCAGAGGCGCGCGCTCGGGCGTGCGGCGGGGCCTGCCCCCCCCCACCCCCCCGGCACGGGAGGAGGGGGAGGAGGAGGAGGAGGAGGAGGAGGAGGAGGAGGAGGAGGAGGGGGAGGAGGAGGAGGAGGAGGAGGAGGAGGAGGAGGAGCTCCGTGTGCTGGGACACTGTTTGGCCCTCCGGCGCCCCCGCTCTCCTGCTCCTCCCGCTCGGGCACATGTGCCCGTGCAGCAGGCCTGGCCGCGCAGCAGGCGTCGGCCCTGCAGGCTGCGCCAGGGGGGGGGGGCTCGCGGTAGCGTGAAGTCAGGCTTGTCCCTCTACAGGAGGAACATTCAAGAATAGTAAAAAAATAGTCTGGGGACGATGATTGAGTATTTTTTTACTCTTTGTAGGTTTTTCTGGCGTTTTTCAATTTTTGGTCAAAACCCGCCTGTAGGGGCACATGCCCGACCCAAGGGTAGCGCCACCGGGGCACCCCGTGGCCAGTTCTGCCTTCCCGGGCGTACCATCGCGCGTGCTTGCTGATGTTGCGGTCTCCTCGGAGCGTGGGACGCCCCCCCCCCAGGCGTGCAGCGGCGCTTCTTCGGAGAGGGCCCCATACACCTCCCCATCGCGTTTCCCTGTTCCTCCCCTCTCCTCGAGTCATCCTCCCCTCGTATCCTCTCAGCCCCTCGTCTCGCCTCTCCTTCGTGGAGAGCTGCGATCCGTGCTCAGTCGCGATCACACCTTCCATGCATCACTTGTGCCCGACATTCGCCCTTGTCCACCACAGCATCTTTCAAGGGATCCTTGTTTCGGCCGCGTCTGCTTATACTCACAGAGACCACCCCACCTAGTTCCCTCAACCCCTGCGCCAGCGCTCTTCAGCTCTCATCTGTTTAATGTAGTTGTTGTTGGATTCACTCTAAACGCTTTTGTTTTGAATGGTTCCTCAATGGTTGTCTGGATCAATGTCGTTTCGTTTTGCCTAGGATCTGAACGCCAGCTGGGTTGGCCCCAGTTCCCCCCCCCCTCGGCCACCCTGGCTTTCAGCCTACTCCATCCCCATTCGGGCATCCAGTGCCTTGCTTGTGTTCCGTGCGGGGTCCCCGAGAGTCCCGACCCTTTCCCCACGGCCGGGTCTTCGTCCCAAGTCGTTTTTGTTGCCCCCCCCGAGACCGGAGACGGTCGAAATCATTATGTTGTTTCTGTTATCGACGCGAGTACAGCGTCCAGTGGAAACCCATGCCAAGAATCATTTTGCTTGCCTCCAGGGTGCCCTGGGTTTCGAGGGTTTCGAAGGTTTTGCTATGGAAAGCGTGGCGCTCCCGCACCCGGTTTCCCCTGGGGCCGTAGGCGATCCGAGGAGGAGGAGGAGGAGGAGGAGGAGGAAATGGAGGAAATGGAGAGGGAGGAGGAGGAGGAGGAGGAGTATGATGATGAGAAGGAGGAGGAGGAGGACGAGGAGGAGGAGGCGGAGGACGGGCCGCCTAAGCCCGTCGGAGAAATTTTCCATCTCAGGATTGGGCTTCTTGTGGCAGGTATCGTCTGGTCGGGCTTTTGCTGTAGCCTGGGCCTCTCTGCTCCCACATACATCTTCCGCTCTCCGCTGCTCTCCCTCCTCTCTGCAACCACCCACCCCAGCATTCGCC